GAGGAGGAGGAGGAGGAGGGAGGGGCGGGGGCGCGCGCGCGCTCCCGGCTCGAGGCGGCCCCGGTGGGGGAGAGCGGAGAGGGAGGGAGGGAGGGAGGAGGGGGGGAGGGAAGGAGGGAGGGAGAGAGGGAGGGAGGCACGCGGACGGCGCGTGCGCGTGCGCGCGGCGGCGCCACGCGGCCGCGCACGTAGCGCGCGCGGGGGGCGGGAAGGGTTTATTGGGGGGGGGGGGAAAGGCGGCGGGAGGAGTTGCGTAAGCGATGGAGGGCAGTGCGCCTGCGCAAAGCCACGCCCCGCTCGGACACGCCCCTTCTCTAGGCCACGCCCCTTCCGTCATGCGGCGGGACGGGGCAGCCCCGGTGGTGGGGATCCCGGTAATGGGGATCCCGGTAATGGGGATCCCAGTGAGCCCCGGTGATGGGGATCCCGGTAATGGGGATCCCGGTAATGGGGGTCCCGGTAATGGGGATCCCGGTAATGGGGGTCCCGGTAATGGGGGTCCCGGTAATGGGGATCCCGGTGAGCCCCGGTAATGGGGATCCCGGTAATGGGGATCCCGGTAATGGGGATCCCGGTGATGGGGATCCCGGTAATGGGGATCCCGGTAATGGGGATCCCGGTGAGCCCCGGTAATGGGGATCCCGGGGATGGGGATCCCGGTGATGGGGATCCCGGTAATGGGGATCCCTGTGAGCCCCGGTGATGGGAATCCCGATAATGGGGATCCCGGTGATGGGGATCCCGGTAATGGGGATCCCTGTGAGTCCCGGTAATGGGGATCCCGGTAATGGGGATCCCTGTGAGCCCCGGTGATGGGGATCCCGGTGATGGGGATCCCGGTGATAGGGATCCCTGTGAGCCCCGGTGATGGGGATCCCAGTAATGGGGATCCCGGTGATGGGGATCCCGATAATGGGGATCCCGGTGATGGGGATCCCGGTGATGGGGATCCCGGTGAGCCCCGGTAGTGGGGATCCCGGTAATGGGGATCCCGGTGATGGGAGCAGGGATTCGAGGAGGGAATGGGGATTTGGGAAGGAAAAGGGATTTGAGGAGGGAAAAGAGATTTGGGGACGCAAGTAGAGATTCAAGGCAGGGGGGAGCAGGGATTTGAGGGAAGGAGCAGGAACTCGAGAGAGGAAGATGGGATTTGAGGAGAAGAATAGGATTGGAGGTAGAGAGAAGGATTTGAGGAAGGGAACAGGGATTTCAGGAGGGAGCAGAGACTCGCTGAGTCCTGGAGGAGCCGGCGGCACGAACTGGGGCAGGGAGAAAGTCCAGACGAGCTCTCAGCACATGGTTACAAAAACCCAGCGCTGCCGAGCCAGCCCGGGTTCATTGTGCTGAAGAGCCCCGGGGAAGGAAAGGGAGACAAGGGAACAGCTGGAAACAGCTGGAAACAGCTGGAGCCGCGCGGGGGGGTTCGGGCAGTGCCGCCCTGCTCCATCCTGCCAGCTCACAGGGACGGGGGGACACGGGCGGGCTGCGGGACGGGGGGACATCAGCGCTGGCAGCTGCTCCAGGGGATGTTTTAGGATTTTATGGAATTTTATGGAATCCTGGCGGGGCGCTGGGCGGCAGCTGCCCGAACCCCCCCGTGCGGGATCTGCAGCCGGGATGGATGGATGGCATTGGACTCAGCCCGGCAGTGCCACGCTGGGGACACCCCGAGGCCACCGCAGCAGGACGGCGGGACAAGCCACAGCCGTGCTGGGGGACTTTGCCAGGGCAACAATCCCATCCCCTCCCGCCTCGCCTCGGTGCTGGCACCGCGGGTGACTGTCCCTGGCAGAGCCACGGGAAGGTCAGGGGAGGGATAAAACTATTCCTGGAGCAGAGCTGCTCGGCCCCGCGGGAGAGAAGCGGAGGGGATTGTCTCCTCTGAGCTTTAATTCCCATCCCGGATGGCCGCGGGGTCACTGGGTGCCCTCCTGGCCCGCCAAAGGGGTGTCTCGGTAGCCGCGGTGGCCACAAGGATCTGGAAAGTGGCATCATGGAATGGTTTGGGTGGCAAGGGACCTTAAATCCCATCCAGTGCCACCCGTGCCGTGGCTGGAGAGGAAGGAAAGGAGAATGGAAAGGCCATGCTCCCAAAAAAAGCCACATTCCAACCAAAAATCCCCTTTTCCATTCCAAGCCAGGGCTGGGGAACCCCACAGAACCCCAGATTTGGAGGGAAGGAGCTTTAAATCCCATCCAGGGACACCTCCCACTGTCCCAGGCTGCTCCAGCCTGGCCCTGGACACTTCCAGGGATCCAGGGGCAGCCACAACTTCTCTGGGAATTCCATCCCAGCCCCTCAGGGAGGAATTCCTTCCCAAAATCCCCTCTAAACTTCATTTTGATGCCATTTTGATGCCTTCCCTGGGCTCCGGGTGCTGCTCCGCACGGGAGATGCTGGGAGGTGACAGATGCTGCTGTCAGCAAGAATCCAGAAAAAAAATTAAAAAAATAAAATAAGGAAGGAAGAAAGAGAGCAAGAGCGAGGAGAAAGGCAGGGGGAAGCTGTCTCCCGAGCAAACCGGGTTCTCCTGTAGTGCCAGACTGCTGCGGGCCCCGGGACAAACGGACGGGGTGGAAGGCAGGAGCTGTAATTAACCCAGAGCCTCTGCAGCCACCAACCGCTGTCAGTGCTCCTTTCTAATTAGGAAAAACAAGGAAAAAAAAAAAAGTGGGGGGGGGAAGAAAAAAAAAATAAAATTCCCAAAAGAAGCTTTTCTTTTCTTCTCTTTTGCCGGAGTTTTCGCCGGGAGCAGCCGGAGGGCAGCGGCTAATCCTGCCCCGCAGGTCTGGGCTGCCGGCTTAGGGCTGGAATCTCTGGTATTCGGGAGCAGGGGGACAGCAGCGCTCGGAGCTCTGGGGCCTCTTGCTCCGCGGCTCATTCTCGGGGGGTTGGGAAGCGTTTTTTCCCTTGGATTTTCCCCTCTCCGTGTGTGCGTGCGGCTCTGCCCGTCCCTCCCGCCTCACCGCCGGGCACCTGGGACAAGTTCAACAAGGATGGAGGCAGAAGTGGCCCAGCCCCTGCCTGGAGCTGGCGGGGACAGTTTGGGGCGGATGCCGAGCCCTGATCCCAGCCCTGATCCCGCTCTCCCACGGTACAAATCCCCGCGTGGTGGTTTTGCAGGGAGAAGGGCACAGGTGGGCTGGGAACATCATCCAGTGGCATCTCCACGGCCTCATCCCAAATTTTTTCAGCGATGCTCCCAGGCTGAGCCCCTCAGGAGCACCCCACGAGCAAGGAGGTGGCTGCAGAGGGGTTCCAGAGCCCCCCAGCGCTGCCCACGGAGGTGAAACCGGCCGGGATTGCATCCCGGGAGAGCCGGCTGGGCTGGGAAAATCCGGCCCCACGAGTCCTGAGCCGTGGGAAAGCGGCGGGGCCGTGGGGCACCGGGGCCGGTGACTCAGCCCCGGCTGCTCCAGGATCGGCTCCACCGCTCCGGGGCTTCATCCCGGTTTTCCAGCGTGTTCCACTTTTCCCACTGCGGGTCTCTGCTATGTTTTCCCCCCACCCCAATCAGCATAGCGCTGAATTTTGGGAGGTGCTGGCGGGCTGCAGATGCTATCTCCCCACCCAGCGGGGCCCGGCTCCCCCCGTGCCCCCCAGCCCAGCCCCGCACGGCCGCTCCCGGCTCGTCCCCGCTCAGATAAGAGCGAGCACGGGGCCGGGGATCAACGGTCTCGGGCACAGCGGAGCCGTCACTACACATTAACCAGCTGTCCGATGGAGCAACGCGTCCTCGGAGCCAAGATCAACAGTCCCCAACGCGAACTGGGAGCGGGGCCAGGCGCGGCGAGCGCGGCCGGAGCCCCCCGTTCCCGAGGGGCCCCCCGAGCTTCGCACCCCCGGGCTGGGCTCGCCTTTGGCTCTGCGAGCCGGGCCGGAGCCTCGCCCCGCGGGCGTGGGCGGGTGATGAGCATCCCCGGGGTGTCCCGGCGGCTCCCAGGGATGGGGTCTCAGGGGAAGAGGGTTTGGGATGAGCTGGTTTGTGTTTTAGGCTGTTCCAGGGACACCCGGAGGGACCCTCGATATCCCCCCACTCTCGCTTCCCGGTGTGCCAACCTGTCCTGGGGGCACCCGCAGGGACCCCTGCCCCCGACCCCCCCTCCAAAACCAGCGCCCGGGGCTGCTGCGATGGGAAATGCCAAAAAGCATCGCACAAACACCACGGAGCTGCTGGTGGGGTGTGCAGGATCCTGGGGGGGTTCTGCGGGTCTGGGGGGGCTCTGGAAATTCGGGGAGGGGGTCCTGAGTGTCCGGGGGGCGGGGGGGGCTATGCAGATCTGGGAGGGGCATTGCGTGGCTGGAGGGGCCCTGAGGGGCTGGGGGGACACATCGGGGGGTCCGGGGGGTACTCTGCAGGTCCGGGGGGGGCCTGAGTGTCCGGGGGGAGGGTGGGCTATGCAGATCTGAGGGTCTGGGGGTACACATCTGGGGGTCCGGGGCGTGTTCTGCAGGTCCGGGGTGGGGGGGCTGAGTGTCCGGGGTGGGGGGGGGGGGGGCTATGCAGATCTGAGATCCTGGGGGGACACATCTGGGGGTCTGGGGGGTACTCTGCAGGTCCGGGGGGGGGAGCCCTGCGTGTCTGGCTGGGGGCTATGTAGATCTGGGAGGGGCATTGCGTGGCTGGAGGGGCCCTGAGGGTCTGGGAGGACAAATCTGGGGGTCCGGGGGCTAGGGGGGCTCTGCAGATCCGGGGGGGGGCTCCGACACCCGCAGCACCCCCCGCACGGGGCAGTGTGGAGGGTGGGGGTCCCGCCCGTGACCCACATGGGGGATGGTGATGCTGACACCCCCCACCCCCTCCCCAATTCCCGGGGGTCTCCCCCTCCTCACGCCCCCCCCGCACTGCACCACGCACGGGGGGGTGGGTGGGTGAGGGGGTGTGGGCGGAGCCTCCCGCGCTGGCCCCGCCCCCTCCTCCGCAGCCGATGGAATTTTCCACTCGCGGGCGCGGCGCGGGCTCCCGCTGGCCACGCCCCTCCGCGCGCGCGCGCCCCGCCAGGCCCCGCCCACACCCCCCCGCTCCCCCCCCCCTCCCCGCGGCGGGGCCAAGATGGCGGCCGCCATGGCGGCGCGGCTCTGCCTGAAGGTGGGACCGGCAGGAACGGCGTGAGGGGCGCCGGGGAGCGGCTGTGGGGCCGCGGGATCAGCGCTGTGGGCGATGAGGGCTGAGGGGAAATGACGGTGCTGGCGGTGCCGGGCTCACTCCGCGCTCTGCCGTTGTTTCTCCTCAGGGTGCCGAGTCGCTGCTGCGCCCCAGGGCCCTGCCCTGTGTGGTTGTGCCGGTGAGGGGCAGGAGGAAATGGCCGCGGGTGCCCGAGTGGGCTCGGGAGCTGAGCGCTGAGGAGAAGGAATGGCGGCTCCGATCCGCGGCTCCGATATTCCCGGACGAGCGCATGGAGCGCACTTTCTTCTTGGCTTGCACGGGTACGGCAAAACGGGTGATGTGAGAGACAAAATCAGGAGGAATTCCTTCCCCAGAGGCTTCCCTGCCTGGTCTCTGAACCTCTTGGTGCCTTTTGCTCGAATCGTGGAATTCCAGAGGGGTTTGGGTTGGGAAAGCCCCTCCAGTGCTGCCCCTGCCCAATCCCAGGTGCTCCAAGCCCTGTCCAGGGATATTTCTGGGAAGTGGCACCATGGAATGGTTTGGGTGGCAAGGGACATTAAATCCATCCAGTGCCACACCAATCCCAAGTGCTCCAAGCCCCATCCAGGACAGTTCCAGGGATCCTGGGGCAGCCACAGCCACACCTGTGCCAGGATCTGAGCGCCCTCACAAGGAGGAATTTCTTCCCGAAATCCCCTCCCGACTCCATTTTTCCACCTGTAAAAGTGTAGCAAAGCTATAAGGATCTGGAAAGTGGCATCATGGAATGGCTTGGGTGGCAAAATCCCATCCAGTGCCACCCGTGCCATGGCTGGAGAGGAAAGAAAGGAGAATGGAAAGGCCATGCTCCCAAAAAAAGCCACATTCCACCCAAAAACTCCCTTTCCATTCCGAGCCAGGGCTGGGGAACCCCACAGAACCCCAGATTTGGAGGGAAGGAGCTTTAAATCCCATCCAGGGACACCTCCCACTGTCCCAGGCTGCTCCAGCCTGGCCCTGGACACTTCCAGGGATCCAGGGGCAGCCACAACTTCTCTGGGAATTCCATCCCAGCCCCTCGGGGAGGAATTCCTTCCCAAAATCCCCTCTAAACTTCATTTTGATGCCTTCCCTGGGCTGTGAGTGAGCAGCAGAGAGCAGCACTGGTGGGCCAACTTATCCCAGGAATTCTCTACTTGAAATTCCCAGGAATTCTCTCTCAGATCAGCAATTCTCCCTTTTCCCCTCTCCATTCCCTGGGTTCTGAGCCTCCTCCTGAGCTGCTTTTCCCACCCCCAGCTGAAATCATGGATCCCTACGTCCCCCCCGAGGGCGATGCCCGCCTGACCTCGCTGTCCAAGGACGGGGTGAAGCAGCAGATGCAGAAGCTGAGGCAAACAGCGGCTTCTCAGCTGGCGTATGTACCCCTCGTTGGCTAATTAGCTTAATTAACCTGCTGCAGCAGCTCTGCTCTGCCTCTCCTGGGGCTGTTCCTGAGGTATTTCTACCTCCAGGTCACCTGGGAACCCCAAATCCCCTCAAAACTCCCATAAACCCATCCAGGAATCCTCTGTGTTCCCCCTTGGGTTCCCTCCAGGGCACCCCAAATCCCCTCCAGGATCCCCCTGTGTCTCTCCAGGTCACCTCCAGGCCACCCAGGACACTCCAAAACTCCCCAGGATCCCCCCAAATATCCCCATGACCCCCCTTGTGTTCTCTCCAGTCACCTCCAGGACACCCCAAATCCCCTCAAAACTCCCACAAACTTGCCCAGGAACCCCTCAAATCCCCCCAGGATCCCCTCTGACTCCCTTTGTGTTCACTCCAGTTACCTCGAGGACACCCAGGACACCCCAAATCTCCTCAAAACTTCTCAGGTTTCCCCCAAATCTCCCCAGGACCCTCCTGTGACCCCCCATTGTGTTACCTCCAGGCCACCTGGGACCCCCAAGATCCCCCAAATCCCCCCCCAGGACATTCCTCTGGACCCCCAGGTCACCTCCAGGCCACTGAGACCCCCCCAAATTTCCTCAAGACTTCCCCAGTCCCCCCCAAATCCCCCTCAGGACCCCCACTTTGACCACCTGATCTTCCCCCAGGTCAACCAGGACACCCCAAATCGCCTGAAAACTCCCCCAGGACACCCCTGAGTGGCCCCCAGTTACCTCCAGGCCACCCAGGACCCCCCAGATCCCCTCAAAATTCCCCCAAATCCTCCCCCAGGACCTGCCTGTGTCCCCCCGGTCACCCAGGACCCCCCAAATCCTCCCCCAGGACCCCAAATCCCCCACCAGGACCCCCCTGTGTCCCCCCAGACCTCCCCCCAGGACCCCCCAGACCCCCTCTGTGAGGGGGCTGAGGGATCTCTGGATGATTTTTAGGATTTTAGGTTGTTTCCTCCCTTTTTCCCCCATTTTTGTTGTTGTTCCCCTTCCCCTGGAGTTCCCGCCTCTCTTGTTGGAAACTGCCACACTGTGCACTCCAATTTTTTAGGATTTTATGGATTTTGCTGTTTTATGACCACCTGAAGGTTTTGTCTCAGTGGAGGATCTCCAGTTCTCAGCTGGTAAAAGCTGGGATTGAATCCTATAGGATCCAAACATCCAGGACAGCTCCAATTCTGTTCTTTCCTTAATTTTTTTCTTTCCCAGCCTGCGGAAGATCAAGGATCACGACCCAGATTTCAGCACCAAAACCTTCCCTGAGAAAGCCCAGGAGATATTTATTGAGGCTCACAATTCCCTGGCAAAGTAAGGCCCTTCTCTGACCCACAAGGAGCTGGAATTTGTGGGGGAAATGTGGAATTTGTGGGAGGAAATGCAGGAATTTGTGAGGGAAATTGCAGGAATTTGTGGGAGGAAAAGGGGAATTTGTGAGGGAAATTGCAGGAATTTGTGGGGGAAATGCAAGAATTGGTGGGAGGAAAAGGGGAATTTGTGGGGGAAATTGCAGGAATTTATGGTGGAAATGGCAGGAATTTGTGGGGGAAATGCAGGAATTTGTAGGAGGAAAAGGGGAATTTGTGGGGAAATGCAGGAATTTCTGGGGGAAATGCAGGAATTTGTGGGAGGAAAAGGGGAATTTGTGGGGGAAATGCAGGAATTTGTGGGAGGAAAAGGGAAATTGGTGGGAGAAATGGCAGGAATTTGTGGGAGAAATGGCAGGAATTTGTGGGGGAAAGCAGGAATTTTTTGGGGAACCTCTTTCCCTGTGCTGGGGTGACCGGGGCTGTTTTCTTTGCAGCTTTAACAAGCAGAAGCTTCACTCCCTGGTGACCGAGCGCTGCTACCCCGTAAGTGCCTGGAATTTTTGGGATGTCTCAGCTGGAAGGGACCCCCAGGGATCATCAATCCAACCCCAGAGGAGGAGTTGGTGCCTGGATCACTTCCATGGCATTTCAAACTTTATAAATTTCATCCTCTGCCTCGTTTTTAATGGCATTTTTTCCTTTCTTTCTTTTTTTTTTTAAGGTTTTCTAAACCTGGTGATATCTTATTTATTTTCTGGATTCAGCAAAGAGCTGGGAGGGAAAACCCAAAACTCATCAACAACCAATGAAATGCTTGTGGTGTTCTCTAATTGTTCCCATTAACATCCAAACCGAGTCGGGTTAGAATCCCAGATGCTGAAAATTTTAAATTTTCTGTGCTGAAGAGCGCAGACCCACAAGAAAATACAATATTTGACCAAAGACATAAAAAAACCTTCCAAAATTGATTAATAACACTAAGATTACAAATGTGTAGTTTGATTAGAAGTAATATCTCTAAGTAAAAAACTTAAAATTTTAAAATATAACAATGTATATAAGGCAAAATAGAAGTTTTAGAACAGTAACTAATTATTCTTCACAAGATTAGGTAGTATTTTATAATTGAACAGAAAAATCCGTATCATGGACTTTGAGTGGTTATTAAGTCAAAAATAAAACTAGAATTATTATAATTAAATATAATTTCTTAGTTAAATAATTTAACCTTAAAAGATTTTGTATAGAAAGAGTTAACTGCTTTGTAACTTATTAGTAAAATGCTGTAAAAATCACAACTTATAATATCAATAAAAACAATAAACACCTAAATCTAAACATAGTAAATACATAAATGTAAACATCAATGAAACCTAAACATCTAAACCTAAATTCCATCTCAAATACCTTCAGTCCTAACCTTAACAAGAAAGAAAGAAACAAACAAACAAAAAAACACCCAAAAAACCAAAAAAAAAATTCCAAAAAAACCACAAGAAGCAACTGAATCGGAGCTGGTTTTCGCTGTCAGGAATGAAAAAATCATTAATAATTGAATTAATTGCAAGCTGATTTCTGCTGGCAGGACATGGTGCGTGGGAACAGGTACAAAACCATCCGGTGGAGGTTTGTGGAGTCCCTGGAGCCCCCCAGGGTGGTGCACGTGCGCTGCGAGGGCATCCTGAACCGGGGCAACCTCTACGGGCAGGTGACGGTGAGGATGCACAGCCGCCAGGTGAGCCCTGCGCTGGGGCCTTCTCCAGCGTGAAAAATCCCCATTTTCCCAGTTTTTATTGGAAATTCACATTTATGTCATCCAGGAGCCTTCTCCAGCATGAAAAATCCTCATTTTCCCAGCTTTTATTGGAAAGTCACAGTTGGATCATCCAGGAGCCTTCTCCAGGATGAACAATCCCAGTTTTCCCAGCTTTTCCTGGAAATTCACATTTGGGTCATCAAGGATCCTTCTCCAGGATGAACAATCCCAGTTTTCCCAGCTTTTCCTGGAAATTTACGTTTAGGTCATCCAGGAGCCTTCTCCAGGATGAACAATCCAAATTTTCCCAGCATTTCCTGGAAGGTCATCCAGGATCCTTCTCCAGCATGAACAATCCTCATTTTCCCAGCCTTTCCTGCAAAGTCACACTTAGGTCATCCAGAAGCCTTCTCCAGCATGAAAAATCCCCATTTTCCCAGCTTTTCTTGGAAGATGACAGTTGGATCATGGAGGATCCTTCTCCAGGATGAACAATCCCAGTTTTCCCAGCTTTTCCTGGAAATTCACTTTTAGGTCATCCAGGAGCCTTCTCCAGGATGAACAATCCAAATTTTCCCAGCCTTTCCTGGAAGGTCGTCCAGGAGACTTCTCCAGGGTGAACAATCCCCATTTTCCCAGCTTTTCCTGGAAATTCACATTTTTGTCATCCAGGATCATTCTCCAGGATGAACAATCCCAATTTTCCCAGCCTTTCCTACAAGGTGACAGTTGGATCATCAAGGAGCCTTCTCCAAGATGATCAATCAAAATTATCCCAGCCTTTCCTGGAAGGTCACAGTTGGATCATTCGGATGAATGATCCCAGTTTTCCCAGCCTTTCCTGGAAATTCACATTTAGGTCATCCAGGAGCCTTCTCCAGGATGAACAATCCAAATTTTCCCAGCCTTTCCTGGAAGGTCATCCAGGAGACTTCTCCAGGGTGAACAATCCCAATTTTCCCAGCTTTTCCATCCCTCCATCTTCCTTCACCATTCCCAACCTGCTGCCAGAGATCCCAAACTTTTTTTGGGTTGGAGATCCCTTAAATCCCATCCCATGGGCAGGGACACTTCCCACTATCCCAGGTCACTCCAAACCCCATCCATCCTGTTTTTTTTGGGTTTTTTTGATCTTTTGACAGATTTTGGCCATCTATGACCGCTTTGGGCGCCTCATGTACGGTGGGGAGGAAATTCCCAAGGATGTTTTGGAATATGTTGTGTTTGAGAGGTACCTGGTGAACCCCTATGGAACATGGAGGATGCACGGGAAGATCATCCCAGAGTGGGCCCCACCCAAGGATCCCATCATTAAGGTGGGGAAAAAGCTGGAAAATGGGATTGTGAAGGGGAAAAATGGGATTGTGAGGGGGAAAAATGGGATCGTGAAGGGGAAAAATGGGATCATGAAGGGAAAAGGCTGGGAAAATGCGGTTCCCAGAGGGGGAAATGCAGATCCCTGGGGATCATTCTGGACAAAGCAGAGCTGTTTGGAATTTCCATGGAATTGTTCCCTGGAGCACCTGGGAGCTGGAATGGGAGGCTGAGGGCCTGGAATGGCTGAGGGCAGGTGTGGGATAATTTTGGGAATTATTTCCCCCCTGTGCCCGACCTTGAAAAGTGTCCCTGCCTTCCTGTGTTACTAAAAATGGATGTTGGAGTAGAAGGACGGGGGAATTCCAGTGCAATTCAAGGCTTCCCATCCCATTCCCTTCTCCTGCCTCCATCTGATCCCATTTTTTTTCCCCTTTCCAGAACCCTCTGCTCCCCTTTTTTCCTGCTGATTTTTGTCCCTTGCTCTTGCAGACCGTGATGATTCCTGGCCCAGCCCCGGATCCCTCACAGGAACACGAAACAGGGAAGTAGAAAGTTCTGGAACGTGGACAGGGACAGCAAACAGGCCAGGAGGGAGGATTGGGAATGTGTCAGACGTGGCTGTGCCTTCGGGAACGGGCTCCAGCCACTCTAAATTTTGTCCTTCACATTGAAGGGACAAATCCTTCAAAAGGAGCGAGCCTCACCCTCGCTGGGTTTCCATGAGGATGAGGAGCCTCGGGAGCATCCACAGGCCACCCTCTGTCCTGGAATTCCATGGGAGAGCCCTTGGGATATTTGTCATCTCCATGGGGAGTGTCACAGACCTGCTGCTCAGTCATTAAAACTTCACCAGTGGCTGTTGGCACCGTTTTTTCCCATCTCTTTCTCAAACTCCTATTTTTTTAACAGAAACCATGAGAACTTTTAAGTCAAGTTCTGTGGTTGCCAGAGGAGCTGATAATTTGATTTAATTTCAGTTTTGATTCCTGACAAGGGGCTGGGGTTGGTGTTGGTGGCAGAGCTGGTGTTGTCACTGAGGGACTGGCACCATCCTGTAGGCACGGTGACATTTGCTGCTGTCCCTGCTTTTCCTGGGCTGGGAAAACACTTTTTGTTTTTTCCCTCTGTGAGGCTCCTTCTCTATTCCTGCTCTGCTCAGCCAGTTCTCCTCAATCACAGAGAAAAGCCCTCCCTGCTCACCCAAGAACAAACCCTTTTCTCCATCTCGTCCTGCTTTTTAACTCAGCCACTTCCAGAGCGTGGGAGAGTTCAGGGAATTTTTATTTCTTCCTTGAGAGGGATTTTGCAGAGCTGTAAAAAAAAAAAAAAAAGGAGCTGTGGCTCCTTTTTGCTTCTCCGTGTTCCATTTTGGGAGGGCAGGAGCTCCTCTTTGTGCCGTGCTGGGAGAGGAGCCAGCAGTGGAATCCCTGCCATGTCCCTTGGGATGTCACAGGGGTGTCACAATCCTAAAAAATTGTTTTTATTTGTTTATTATTTTATTGTTTTATTTTATTATTTTAAAATTGTTGCAACCTTTTCCTAAAAAAAAAAAAAAAAAACAACAAAAAAACCCACAACTTTTTCCACGGAGCTGGGTGTGGGAGCTCAGATCCCTCCGTGGATCCCAGGGCGGGAGGGGATGGAATTCCTGAACCCAGAAGGAGGAGAGGATTGGGATTGTTCAGGCTGGAAAAGGGGAATTCGGGGTGACCTCATGGAGGATTCCCTGAAGGAGCTGTGGGGAAAGATGGAGAGAGGGATGAAGGGACAGGGCACAGGGAATGGGTTCCCTCTGCCAGAGGGCAGGGAGAGATGGAATTTTGGGAATATTCCTCCCTGAGGGGCTGGGATGGAATTCCCAGAGAAGCTGAGGCTGCCCCTGGATCCCTGGAAGTGTCCAGAGCCAGGCTGGAGCAGCCTGGGACAGTGGGAGGTGTCCCTGGATGGGATTTAAGGCCCCTTCCCTCCAAATCTGGGGTTCTGTGGGGTTCCCCAAAATGGAAAGGGGATTTTTGGGTGGAATGTGTTTTTTTTGTGAGAATGGCATTTCCTTCCAGCCACTCAACCCCTCCAGCGCTGGATTTCCTCTCCAGCCCCTTCCTTGGGGGTATCCCCGCTCGTCCCCACCTCGCTGAGCCCCTCCGAGCACACTCCGTAGAGAATTCCGTTTATTTCCTGTATTTACACAAAATTACACAACCAGGACCTTCAGCCTCACGGCCCCAGAGCCCCCAGCACAGTCCAACTGCGGGGCTGGGCAGGGGGGAGCGGGATGGATCCGTGGGGGGATGGAATCCATGGATGGAGGGATGGAATCCATGGAGGGACGGATGGAATCCATGGAGAGATGGAGGGATGGATGGATGGATGGAAGGAATCCATGGAGAGATGGAGGAACGGATGGATGGAAGGAATCCATGGAGGGAGGGATGGAATCCATGGAGGGAGGGATGGAATCCATGGAGGGAGGGATGGAATCCATGGAGGGACGGATGGATGGAAGGAATCCATGGATGGATTGATGGAATCCATGGAGAGATGGAAGGAATCCATGGATAGATGGTCGGAATCCATGGAGAGATGGAAGAATGGATGGATGGAAGGAATCCAGGGATGGATGGAGGGAAGGACAGAAGGATGGATCCATGGTGGACTGGATGGATGGATTGAATCCATGGATGGATGGATGGATGGATGGATGGATGGATGGATGGATGGATGGATGGATGGATGGATGGAAGGAATCCATAGATGGAATCCATGGATGGATGATGGAATCCATGGAGGGATGGATGGAATCCAGGGATGGATGGAAGGAAGGACAGAGGGATGGGTTCATGGATGAGTGGATGGATGGATTGATGGAATCCATGGAGGGATGGATGGAATCCAGGGATGGATGGATGGAGCCACTGGTGTTGGGATCCACTCACACCCCACCCCCATCCCGGGCTCTGCCCTGCCCAGGGCAGGTCCGGGAGGGATCCGTGCTCTCCTCCTCCCACGGACACACCTCAGAGCTTTTCCTCATGTCCAAACTGGGCTTGGCCGGTGCCGCTGGAGCCTCTGCAGCTTCCCAAGGACAAACCTCGGCCAGGCCAGCGCCGGGACTGGGGCTGCTGCCCACCCCTGGGTGCTGGATGCCGGGCAGGAGTCGGCACAGGGGCTTGTGCTCGGCTTCCCCGTGGGATGTGCCCCTGGATTTTTCCAGAAGTGTTGGAGACACAGCGCTGGCACCCAGCCGTCCCACCCCTGCAGGGGAAGCTCTTGGGGCTACCTGTGCCTGCACATCTGGCTGGGAGATTTCCTCCTCCAACCCAATGGGCTCTGCTGCTTCCCAGGGGCGGATTGCAGATCTCCTGCTCTCTGTGCTGTCGGATTTGTTGGATGGCTCCTTCCCCACTGCCGATTTCGGGGACAGTTCCTCCGTGTCCGGGCTCTCCCATGGACAGACGGACTCTCGGTCTCTGCTCCCCTTCTCCACAGCTTTGGAGGCTTCTCTTGATGGGAGTTTCTCCTTACTTGGGGCTCTTCCTTTCTCCAGCTGAGGTTCAGCCACCTCCCAGGGACAGATTTCAGCTTTGTCACTGGATTTAAGGTCCTGACTCTCCCAAGGACAGATCTCTGCCTTCTCTGAGCTCTGGGATGTCCCTGAAGGAGCTTTGGGCAGTGCTGAGCTCCCAGTTTGGGGTTTGGCAGGGGGCAGCTCTGTGTCTGGGCTCTCCCAGGGACAGATCGATTCCCTCTCTCTGCTGCCCTTCTGCAGAGCTTTGGTTGTTGCTTTTCCTGGGAGTTTCTCCTTACTTGGGGCTGTTCCTTTCTCCAGCTGAGGTGCAGCCACCTCCCAGGGACAGATTTCAGCTTTGTCACTGGATTTAAGGTCCTGACTCTCCCAAGGACAGATCTCTGCCTTCTCTGAGCTCTGGGATGTCCCTGGAGCTCCTTTGGGCAGTGCTGAGCTCCCAGTTTGGGGTTTGGCCAGAGGCTGCTCCGTGTCTGGGCTCTCCCATGGACAGATGGACTCTCGGTCTCTGTTTCCCTTCTCCAGAACTTTAGAGGCTTCTCTTGATGGGAGTTTCTCCTTACCTGGGGCTGTTCCTTTCTCCAGCTGAGGTGTTGCCACTTCCCAGGGACAGATTTCAGCTTTGTCACTGGATTTAGAGCCCTGACTCTCCCAGGGACAGATCTCTGCCTTCTCCGAGCTCTGGGATCTCCCTGAAGGGGATTTGGACGGTACTGAACTCCCAGTTTGGGGTTTGGCCAGGTGCTGCTCCATGTCTGGGCTCTCCCAAGGACAGACAGACTCTTGGTCTCTGTTTCCCTTCTCCAGAACTTTAGATGCTTCTTTTCCTGGGAATTTACCCTTTCCTGGGGCTGATCCCTCCTGCAACTGAGGTTCAACCACCTCCCAGGGACAGATTTCAGCTTTGTCACTGGATTTAAGGTCCTGACTCTCCCAAGGACAGATCTCTGCCTTCTCTGAGCTCTGGGGTGTCCCTGAAGGAGCTTTGGGCAGTGCTGAGCTCCCAGGTTGGGGTTTGCTTGGAGGCTGCTCTGTTTCCAGGCTCTCCCAAGGACAGACGGACACTCGGTCTCTGCTGCCCAGGGATCTCTCCGGGCTGGCCAGCGCTGCCTGGCGCGAGATGCGCTTGTCCCCCTTGGTGCCCCCAGCAGGGACCTGCTTTGCCTTTGGCTGCTGGCAGGGAGCTTCAGCCACTTCCCAGGGACAGATCTCGGCTTTACTGCTGGATTCAACCTCCCAGGGACAGATCTCTGCCTTCTCCGAGCTCTGGGATTTCCCTGGAGCTCCTTTGGGCAGTGCTGAGCTCCCAGTTTGGGGTTTGGCAGGGGGCAGCTCTGTGTCTGGGCTCTCCCAGGGACAGATCGATTCCCTCTCTCTGCTGCCCTTCTCCAGAGCTTTGGTTGTTGCTTTTGCTGGGAGTTTCTCCTTTCCTGGGGCTGTTCCTTTCTCCAGCTGAGGTGTTGCCACCTCCCAGGGACAGATTTCAGCCTTGTCACTGGATTTAAGGTCCTGACTCTCCCAGGGACAGATCTCTGCCTTCTCCGAGCTCTGGGATCTCCCTGAAGGAGATTTGGGCAGGGATTTGGCTGGGTGCTGCTTTCCTTTCTCCGGTGCTCTGGCTCCCATTTTTCCTTCCCCTTTGGAAGTGCCATGCATGTCCTGCCTCGATCTTTCCTTCCCCGACGGAGCTGCAGCCTCTTCCCAGGGGCAGATCTCTGGTTTTGGGCGCGGCTCACCCTCCGCCTCCCAGGGACAGATGTTGGCATTTTTGCTCTCCGTGGTTCCAGCCCGCTGGGATGAGGCTTTGGGCAGAGCTGGGGGTTTCCCTGCCAGCCCCATCCCAGGCTGCTCCACCCCTCCTCCAGATTTGGGGGATCCCTGCTCTGGCAGAGCCCCTGCTGTGTCCCAGGGGCAGATTTCTGCTGGGACACTACCTCCCTGTTCCCGGCTCTCCCACGGGCACACCTCAGCCCTCCTGCCCTCCGCTTCCTCCGGGGCCGCTTTGGGCAGCTCTGGTGGCTTTTCCATGCCCGGAGAGCGCTGAGCATCCCCCTCGCTGCCACCCATCCCCGGGCAGGTTCCTGCTTTGGGGCTGGACTCTCCCCGCGTTCCCGCAGGACTGAGCTCTCCCTGCGCTCTCCCAGCCCCGCTCCAGCCCGTTCCGGGGACCCTCTCGGAGTCGGGCTGGCCGCTCCGCTCTCCCCGCGCCTTGTCCGGGCTCTCCGGGCTCTCTGCATCCTCCCGGGGAGCGATGGCCTGCTGGCGCAGCAGGGCTCCCCTTCCTGCCGGCATTCCGAGCGAGCCGGGCGGACCGAGCCCAGCCCGCGGCTCCGGCCCCGCCGCGCCCCGCACGCTGCTCGGGGTGGGCTTCGCAGGCGGCTGCTCCTCCTCCGGGTGGGCCCGGGGCTGGAAGGACCCGCTGGTCCCCTCGAGCTCATCGAGTGTCCCTTCCTCCGCTGTGACCCCAGGAACGTCCTCGTCCCTTTCCCGTGCCCGCGCCACCTCCGGGGGACATTCATCTCCTTGGTGGCCCGCGCTGGGTGGCTCCAGACGCCCACCAGTGCCCGCGCTCCCTCGGGCAGCGCTGGGCTCCTCTGCCGCTTTGTCCCCATCGCCTGTCCCCGCGGCCAGGCTGTCCCACTGTCCTCCCGTCCCGCTGTCCCCCCAGCCCGCGGCTTCCCCGGGGGTGGCGGCGTTGTTGTTGTGCTGGAGGGCCTCCAGGCTCTGCCCGCTCCCCTCGGGGCTTTTGGCAGCGGGCTTTGGGCTGAGCCCCCCGAAGGACACGGCCGAGGCCTCTGCCAGGCCGGGCTTCTCCCTCCTGCTGCTGCCCCTCTTCCTGAGGCTCCCCTCGCTTCTCCCTTTCAGGATGCTCTTCCCCCTGGAGCGGTTGAGGGCTTTGATGGCGAGTCCCAGGCTGCGGAAACTTCTCGCGGGGGGCGGCTTGGGGCCGGGGCCGGTGGCCGCTGTGTCACCGGCGCTCCCCGACTCTGCTGCCTCGGCCGCTTTTTGTTTCCTACTCAGAATCTCGTCCTGGACCAGCTCCCAGGGACAGACGTGTGCCGAGGTGACCGTCGGGGTGCCCTTCCCTGCCGGGGGGGATGCGCGCTCGGGGTCGTGTCCTGCTGTCCCCTCCGCCTGTCCCGCCCGTGCCGGGGGTCCCGGCGCTGGCTCCGGGCTGTCCCCGAGCGTCCCCGAGCGCTGCAGGCTCTGGTAGCGGACGGGGGGCGGAGGTGGCGTTTTCCTCACGGTCACCCGCACCGTCCTGGCCGGGCGGGCGCTGTCAGCGCTGACGCTTTTGACGGGCGCGTAGGTGACATGTGGGTGTCCCTTGGCATCGCCCTGCGAGCCCCTCTCGGCTCTGGGGCTCCGGGGGGTGCCGGTGGCGCTGGGGACCCCCGGGGCCGGCGCGGAGAGGTGGCGGCTGTCGTGCCACCGGTAACGGGCGGCCAGCAGCGCCGCCTCCCGCGCCCCGGTGACAACGCTGTGGGACTTCTGCAAAGGCGGGGGGCGGCCCGGGGGTCGCTGCCAGTGCCCCGCCAGGTTTTGGGCGCTGGCCGATTTGCACAGGAGCGGGGCGGCGTCCAGCGAGTCGCTGTCGGATTGCTCCGAGTCCATCACGGCCGCCGGTGGAGGCTCCTCGGGCGGGCTGGGGGTGGGCGACCCTCGGCGGGGCTCCCGCGGGGGTCCCTCGGAGCTGCGGGACTTGCGCAGGGATGAGGAGCGGCGCCGGGAGCTTTGCTCCCGCATCCTCAGGCCGGTCCCGGAGGCATCCCCGAGCCGCTTGGCCGAGGAGCTGCGGCGGGCCGGGGTCCCCGGCCGGTCCCCGGTGCTGTTCTCGGTCCCGCCGCGGCGCAGGATGGAGCGGGCGAGGCTGCGGCGGGAGCGGCGCTCCTTGGCCAGGTGCGGGTTGTTGGTCGCCATCCTCCACGCCTTGTGCACCTCCAGCTGTCGGTAAAGCTTCTTCAGCTCCTCCTGCGCCGCGGGCGGAGCGGGGAACGCGGCAGAGAGAAACGGGAGAGAGGAGAGCGCCTACAGCGGGGGCTGCGGCCGGGACCGCCCCGCCGAGCCCCGCGGTGTCCCCGTGTCCCCAAAGCCCCCCGCGCTGCCCAGAGGACGCAGCGGGTTTGCCCACCCGGGTGGGGTCACCCTGCACCCCCTCTTCCCCTCCCTCTGCTTTGCATCAGGAAAAGATTGCGAAAGGCACCTCTTACTCTGCACAGCTAGCGTCAAAAGAAGGTCCTGAGTGTGCCACCCACCCGAATGTCATCGGGGTCGAGACTGTGCTCGCTCCAGGCGGACGCGATGCTGCTGTTCATGCAGGAGCCCGAGCGCCGCATGTCCAGCTCGTCCTCGTACACCTCGGCCGTGATCTCCTCCCGCAGCGGCGAGCCCGAGGGCAGGAACTGCGCGGGGACAGCGGGAGTCACCCCGGGGTCCCCTCCCAGCTCCCCGAGTCTCCGGGATCAGTGTGAGCCATGGAATCGGATCTTCGGGGAAAAGGGGCTTGGGGTGCTCGGGACCCCCACAATGGGAAGGGTTTGTGTGCTTGGGATCTGCAGAGGAAAGGGGCTTTGGGTGCTCTGGATCTGCAGAGAAAAGGGGGTTTGGGTGATTGGGACCCCAATAGTGGGAAGGGTTTGGGTGCTCAGGGTCTCCACAGAAAAGGGGGTTTGGGTACTCTGGATCTTCGGAGAAAAGGGGGTTTGGGTGCTCAGGATCTGCAGAGGAAAGGGGCTTTGGGTGCTTGGGATTGGAACTGTGGGGGCTGGAAAAGCTCTCCGGGGTCAGCGTGTCCAGCTGTTCCCCCAGTGCTGACAAAGCCACATCCACAGGGTCTCGAGCGCTTCCAGGGGTGGGGACTCCGCTTGTTCCAAGGCCTGATCACCCTCTCCATGAGGAATTCCCCCAGTGTCCAACCCAAACCTTCCCTGGCAAACCCTGAGGCTGTTCCCTCTGCTCCTGTCCCCATTTCCTGGCAGCAAAGCCTGACCCTGCCCAGGTCCTGTCAGGGACCTGTGGAGAGCCAGAAGGTCCCTCTGAGCTTCCTCTTCTCCTGACTGAGCCCCGCAGCTCCCTGAGGCTCTCCCGGTGCTCCAGCCCCTTCCCCAGCTCCGTTCCTTCCCTAGGATACCTTGGGAATGAAGAGCAGGGCCAGGGTGATGGTGATGGTGCCGTGGGTGTGAGCGAAGAAGAGCAGCAGAGTCCAGTCCGGGTGCAGCGAGGGGACGATCAGGAACCTGGAAGGGACCAGGAGGGCAGTGCCAGCTCCCACCTCCAGACCCCACAACCCCCTCTGCCTGGCCACCCAAACCCTTCCCATTGTGGGGGTCCAGAGCACCCAAAGCCCCTTTTCTCTGCAGATCCAGAGCACTCAATCCCTTTTCTCTGGAGATCCTGGGAACCCAAACCCTTCCCATGCTGAGGATCCTGATCACCCAAAACCGCTTTTATCCGCAGATCCCGAGCACCCAAACCCTTCCCATTGTGGGGGTCCAGAGCACCCAAAGCCCCTTTTCTCCACAGATCCAGAGCACCCAAACCCTTTTCTCTGGAGATCCAGAGCACCCAAACCCTTCCTATGCTGAGGATCCTGATCACCCCCTTTTCTCCAAAGCCCTTTTTCTCTGGAGATCCAGAGCATTAAAATTCTTCTCAGTCTGAGGGATCCAGAGCACCCAAACCCTTCCCACTGTGGGTGTCCTGAGCACCCAAATCCCCTTTCCTCTGCAGATCCCGAGCACCCAAAGCCCCTTTTCTCCGCAGATCCCGAGCACCCAAACCCTTCCCACTGTGGGGATCCAGAGCACCCAAATCCCCTTTTCTCTGCAGATCCCGATCACCCAAACCCCCTTTTCTCTGCAGATCCCGAGCACCTGAAGCCCCTTTTCTCTGCCGATCCCGAGCACCCAAACCCTTCCCACCTCGGAGCACCCCTGGGCACCCCCGGGGGTGGCAGCCGTGGCGCCCGGCCCTACCTGAGCAGGTGGAAGGTGGCAGAGAGCAGGAGCTCGTTGTGCAGGGCGATGCCCAGGTAGCGGGGCTCGTGGAAGGCCGAGGGCACGGCGCGCGTGGCGTGGCACAGGAAGCTGCCCCACAGCAGGAACAGCATCTCGGCTGTGGGGCAGAGCAGGACGCTCCCTGAGCGGCCACACCCCACCCCTGAGCAGCTTTTGGGGTGCTGCCCACCCCCCTCACCCCGGCTTAGAGACGGGTTTGCAGCATCCCCCGGCGTGGCCATGCCAAAGTTTGGGACTCGGCACCAGGGGATGCTCAGAGGGGAGGGTGGGGGGCAGCTGGGGGACCCCAACCCTCCTTGAAACCTTGAAACCTTTAATCCTCCTTCAGGTGGATTCAAGGGACAAGGGAATGAAAGCCCCAAATTGTGGGATGGGGTCCTGGGGCTGTGGGGATCCCAGGTCCTTGCAGCTCCCAGGAGGATTAAACAGACAAAGGAATATGGGATGGAGTCCTGGGACCATAGAGACCCCCAGGTCCTTGCAGCTTCCAGAAGGATTAAACAGGCAAAGGAATGAAAGCCCCACAATTATGGGATGGGGTCCGTGGGCACCCCCAGATCCTTGCAGCTCCCAGGAAGGTTAATAGACAAGACAAGGAGAGCCCCCCAGTTCTGGGCTGGGGTCCTGGAGCCGTGGGGACCCCCAGGCCGCGCCGGGGGCCGTCTCACCGATGACCATCATGTAGTCCCAGCAGTCGTGGCCGCAGCGGGAGAAGCGGAGGCCGCGGGCGGTCTGGGCGGGGATGACCAGCGGGATGTTCCTGCGGGCGTTCTGCAGCGCGCCCGCGGTCCAGGCCGCCAGGAACCAGAGCAGGGGCAGCAGGATGGGCACCAGCAGCCGCAGCGCGGGCCCGCCGGGCACGGGGAGAGCGCGCCGCGCCGTGCGGGACAGGAACACCTCCAGCACCCTGCCCGGGGCGCGGGGTGAGAGCCTGACCGTCTGCTGGGACCCCTGCCCATCCCACTGGGACCCCCGCCCATCCCAATGTGACCCCTGCCCATCCCAATGGGATCCCTGCCCATCCCAATGGGACCCCAGCCCATCCCAATGGGACCCCTGCCCATCCCAATGGGACCCCCGCCCATCCCAGTGACACCCGCACCCATCCCAATGGGACCCCTGCCCATCCCAGTGAGACCCCAATCCATCCCAGGGACAGCCAGCCCATCCCAGTGACACCCAGCCTATCCCAGTGAGACCCCAATCCATCCCAGTGACACTCAGCCCATCCCAGGGACAGCCAGCCCATCCCAGCAAGACCCCCACCCATCCCAGTGAGACCCCCGCCTGTGTACTGGGACCCCCAGCCATCCCAGTGAGACCCCAACCCCTCCCAGTAAGACCCCAGCCCGTCCCACTGAGACCCCCATCCATCCCAGTGAGACCCCAAACCCATCCCAGTGAGACCCCAAACCCATCCCAGTGAGACCCCAAACCCATCCCAGTGACACCCAGCCCATCCCAGGGACAGCCACCCATCCCACTGGGACCCCCACCCATCCCAATGGGACCCCAAACCCATCCCAGTGAGACCCCAAACCCATCCCAGTGAGACCCAAACCCACCCCATTTTGGGAGTCCCACTTTGGGGGTCCTGAGACCCAAACCCTCCCTGCTGTGGGGGTCCTGAGACCCAAACCCTTCCCATTGTGAGGGTCCTGAGACCCAAAGCTTTCCTGTTCTGGGGGTCCTGAGACCCAAACCCTTCCCACTGTGGGGTCCTGAGACCCAAACCCTTCCCATTGTCCTGAGACCCAAACCCTTCCTGTTCTGGGGGTCCTGAGACCCAAACCCTTCCCGCTGTGGGATCCTGAGACCCAAACCCTTCCCGCTGTGGGATCCTGAGACCCAAACCCTTCCCGCTGTGGGGGTCTCCAGCCCCCAGCCCCCCGTCCCAGCCACCTGTAGAGCTTGAGGGTGATGGTGCCGTAGACGATGGCGAAGCCGAGCATCCGCACCCAGCGCAGGACGATGCAGCGGAAGACGCTGGGCTTGAAGTACAGGATGAACACCTGGAGCAGCAGGAGAGAGGAACTGGGGCTGGATCCCACCTGCTTCCCTGGGCCACCCTCCCCCGTGACCCTGCAGGAGGGGACAGGGGATTTGGGCAGGGATTAAATCCTGCAGCCAGCGGGAGAAAAGGGATTTGGTTTTCTGAGAAGGTTTATACCGCAGCCCCCAGGGCCCGTGCCAGCAAAAATTAACAATTAGGTGGAGCCGTGCCCAAAAGCCCATCCTGGAGCTTTGCAGCCCTGGGGACAGCTGGACACTCACAGGGAAGTAGAGGAGGAGGGACCCGAAGAGGATGGTCTCCAGCAGGATGATTCCTGATGTCCGGATCCTCTGCAGGGATGGGGGCGTGAGGGGGCAGCCTCGGAGGGGGCAGGGCCAGGGCAGGGGGATCCCTGACCCCGCAGGGTTTGGGGTGACAGCGGAGCTCGGGGGACACGGGGACAGCTTGCCTTGCTCCGTCGGAAGTGGTAGGACACGAGCATGCTGAGGAAGATGGCCAGCATGCAGCAGGCCTGGCACGACAGCAGCGCCGCCCGCAGCACCCGGTCCTCCTGCGCCAGGCAGGGCGCGTCGTCCTCGCAGCTGGCACAGCCCGGAGGGCACGGCCGGCACCCCAGCCGGGACCCCCCGTCTGTCCCTGCCACACCTGGGGACAGAGCCACGGACAGGTGGGGTCAGCACGTCCTGGCTGGGACCCCTAAATCCCGGCTGGAACCCCCAAATCCCGGCTGGAACCCCCAAATCCCGTCTGGAACCCCCAAATCCCGGCTGGGACCCCCAAATCCCAGCTGGAACCCCCACATCCCGGCTGGGATCCCCACATCCCGGCTGGAACCCCCACATCCCGGCTGGGACCCCCACATCCCGGCTGGGATCCCCACATCCCGGCTGGAACCCCCACATCCCGGCTGGGATCCCTAAATCCCAGCTGGAACCCCCACACCCCGGCTGGAACCCCCACACCCCGGCTGGAACCCCCACATCCCGGCTGGAACCCCCACATCCCGGCTGGGATCCCCACATCCCGGCTGGGATCCCCACATCCCGGGTGGGATCCCCACATCCCGGCTGGGACCCCCACATCCCGGCTGGGATCCCCACATCCCGGCTGGAACCCCCAAATCCCAGCTGGAACCCCCAAATCCCAGCTGGAATCCCCAAATCCCGGCTGGGATCCCCACACCCCGGCTGGAACCCCCACATCCCGGCTGGAACCCCCACATCCCGGCTGGGACCCCCACATCCCGGCTGGGATCCCCAAATCCCGGCTGGACCCCCCACATCCCGGCTGGAACCCCCACATCCCGGCTGGGATCCCCACATCCCGGGTGGGATCCCCAAATCCCGGCTGGGACCCCCACACCCCGGCTGGAACCCCCACATCCCGGCTGGGATCCCCACATCCCGGCTGGAACCCCCACATCCCGGCTGGGATCCCCAAATCCCGGCTGGACCCCCCACATCCCAGGGCCTGGTGGCACCCCCCAGACCAGGGCACGTGTTCTGTGTCCCCAAAGCCCCCCAGCCCTGGTCCCCGCTGCTGTATCCGAGTGCCACCACAGGGTCCCCGGGGCCTGGTGGCACTCACCCGCCCGGGCACCGCTGCCCGCCCCGCCGGCCCTGTAAAAGCCCGGCTTGCACCTGCACAGGTACCTCCCGAGGACAAATCCGCGGCTCTCCTGGGGGACACACTGAAGGGGACAGCCTGAGACACGTCCCCCACCCCCCGTGTCCCCTCTGTCCCCAAATCCCTCTCCCCAGGGGCTCCAGCAGCCCCCAGCTCACAGATACCTGACCCCCCCCACGCCATCCTCCCCCACAGCCGCGAGGAATCAGTGGTTAAACATTTCAGAATTAAAACCCAAAGCTTGGCCCCAAATCCCTCCCTAAAACCTAAATGGACACCTAATGCAGCCGAGCGCCCTAATCCTGCCCGGCCGTGACGGCAGCCCCGGCCCGGCCCGCTCCCTAATCCCCCCGGCCGCATCCCGCCCCGCGGGCACTGCTGTTTCCCGGAGGGATGCGCGGCCTCTGGAAGGCACCGCTGGCAGGGCACAGAGCTGGCGACAGCTTGGGGACAGCTCTGGGTGGGACCCCAAAGCTGGGGGGCTGCGGGGTTCGCCCCGCCTGGGGGTGCTGCTGGTTGTGCCGAGCCCCGAAACGCTCGGGCACCGCTGTGTCCCCGGGGTGGGCACCGCTGTGTCAGCGGGGTGGGCACCGCTGTGTCCCCGGGGTGGGCACCGCTGTGTCCCCGGGGTGGGTACCGCTGTGTCCCCGAGGTGGGCACCGCTGCAGGGGCCGGGTGATGCTGCCAGGCCCCGATCTCACCGTGCCCACCGTGCCCACCGTGCCCACCGGGAGCAGCCGGGTCACACGGCGGGGCTGGAGGTGGGGAGGGAAGATTTGCACGATAAATCTCCGGGCGCGGTGCGGGAGCAGCTGAGCCGAGCAGATGGATCCGCCCGGGAGGGAGAGGATAAAGCTCAGCCCGGAGGGAGGGACGAGGAACGGGGCTACGGGGGTGGTTGTGGGTGCGGGGTACCCCGGTCCTGGCAGGGAATGGGATGGAGTGTGGGGTGCCCAGGTCCTGGCAGAGGATGGAGTGTGGGGTACCCCGGTCCTGGCAGGGGGTGGAGTGTGGGGTACCCCGGTCCTGGCAGGGAATGGGATGGAGTGTGGGGTGCCCAGGTCCTGGCAGAGGATGGAGTGTGGGTACCCCGGTCCTGGCAGGGGATGGAGTGTGGGGTACCCCGGTCCTGGCAGGGGATGGAGTGCAGGGTACCCCGGTCCTGGCAGGGGAGAGGATGGAGTGCGGGGTACCCCGGTCCTGGCAGGGGAGGGGATGGAGTGCAGGGTACCCCGGTCCTGGCAGGGGATGGAGTGTGAGGTGCCCCCGTCCTGGCAGGGAATGGAGTGCGGGGTGCCCAGGTCCTGGCAGGGGAGAGGATGCGGTGCGGGGTGCCCAGGTCCTGGCAGGGGATGGAGTGTCCCGGTCCTGGCAGGGGAGGGGATGCGGTGCGGGGTGCCCAGGTCCTGGCAGGGGAGGGGATGGAGTGCGGGGTGCCCAGGTCCTGGCAGGGGAGAGGATGGAGTGCGGGGTGCCCAGGTCCTGGCAGGGGATGGAGTGTGGGGTGCCCCGGTCCTGGCAAGGGAGGGGACGCGGTGCGGGGTGCCCAGGTCCTGGCAGGGGAAGGGACGCGGCGCGGGGTGCCAGGGCCGGTACCTGGGTGCTGTTGAGGTCACAGCGATGCGTGTCCGAGAACCAGCCCGGCCCGCTGGAGCACTGGTCGATGGCCACGTCCCGCAGCTCCACGTCCACCCGCACGACCCCCCTGTCACCAGGGACGGGGTCAGCCCGGCCCGGGGGGCGGCGTGGGGGGTCCCTGTGCCCACCCCGTGCCACCCACCCGGAGTGGCCGAGCCCCAGCGCTCCATCCAGCCGCGGTGGGGCTGGGGCACGGCCCGGGGGGACAGCGACAGCGATGTCCCCAGCGCCCCGGACAGGGCTGCTGTCCCTCGGAGCCGTGGCTGGGGCGGCCGGAGCTGGGCCAGGGGCAGAGGCAGCAGCTCCTGGCTGGGAATTCCGCCCCCCCGGAGGGATTTTCATGCAAAAGATGGGGAAATTGGGGCCGCTGGGGTGGCCCCCAGGTGCCCCGCGGGACCAACGCTCTTCCCTGGGCTCTCCAAAGGGGACACGGATGTCCCCTTGGAAATGGGGCCGTGTCCCGGCTCTGGGGCTGATCCCAGCTGACCCTTCCCTCCCCAGCGCCTCCCTCTGCGGCTCCTCGCACAGTGGGGCGCAGTAGGGACCCCCCAATCGCGGGAGGGGTCCCGACCCGGCTCACCCACCCCCAGCGCAGCAGTGACAGGGGGTGGCAGCGCAAGGTGGGGCAGCACAGGGGACAGCGGCAGGGGACGTGTAAAAACACCCGCGCACCTGCAGGGGCCCGCAGAGGGACACGGGCTGGGTGACACATCCAGCTGCACCCCAGCACACACACGGGGCACCCCCACACCCCTTTTTACACCCCCTAAACCCCTCGGGGCTCCACTTACTTGAACTCGGGGCTGAGGTCGGGCTTGAGCCCGTAGAAGGCGGAGGAGAGCGTGACGGCCCAGGTGGGCACGAAGCGACCCTCGCGGCACTCCAGGAAGGGCGGCGACCACCGCACGTGGCCCGGGTCCCCCAGGTAGCTGTCCCCCCGCTGCCACTTGGGGGTCTCCAGGCTGCGCAGGTCGTTGCTGAGCAGCCGCTTGCGGAGCGCCGGGAGCCGCTGCGCCTTCAGGCCGGTGAACCACTCGTGGTCCCAGCTGAGGTTGCCCAGGCTGGGAGCGGCGTTGGACACGTCCTGCAGCAGGATCTGCCCGTCCCCCTTGGTGGCCTGCAGCATCAGCCGCGGCTTGGGGGCCAGCGGGTGGGCGTCGAGGGCCAGCACCGCCCTGCGCACCCAAGGGTGCCCCTCGGCCAGGCTGCGGACCAGCGCCTGGTACCACTCCACGTCCTCGGCCACGCTGGCCTCGCGGATGTCGTTGGTCTGGAAGAGCATGTTGAGGAAATTGGCGGCGTGCGCCAGAGCCTCGGGGGCGGCTCGCAGGGCCGCCCGCAGCCCCGGGGGTGGCCCGGGCCCGGGGGCACCGGCGGCGACAGCCCCGCTGCAGTTGGCCCGGGCCAGGCGCTCGGCATCGCCCGTGCGCAGGAACGCCAGCGCTGCCGCCGAGCCCTCGCTGTCCCCCGCCGCTCCCGGCTCCGCCGTGGGCGCCCACGGGGATGAGGGGGCCGGCGACCACCCCGCCGGCCGCGGGGGTCTCTCCTGCGGGCGCTGCCCCGCCGCCAGCACGGCGACCTGCAGCAGCACCGCGCGGAAGCCCCAGAGCGGCGCCCCCCGGCACGGCCCCATGGCTGAGGGGGCTCAGCGGAGCCCCCCGGTCCCCGCCGGCTCCCCCGGCCGGCTCGGGGGGCGCATGGCGGGCAGCGACCCCGAGCTGCCCGGAGCCGGCCCCGCGCTCTGCCGCCCGTTCTCCTCCCTCGGCGATGCCGGAGCAGACGTCACCGGCTCCAAACCGTGTTCAGCGGCTGGCGCCGCCCGGAGCCCCCCCGTGCCCGCCCCCGCGCTCCCGTTCGGGCGGCGGCGCTGCCCGGAGCCCTCCGGTGTGAGCCCCGAGGGGACCCCGCGCCCCGGCCCCTCGGTCCGGCCGGGAAGCCATGGCAACGGCAACCGGAATTTTCCCTCCCCGCGGCCCCTCGGCAGCCGGGGGGAACGGGGCTCCCGCGGGGTCGCGTCCACTGCCCCCCACCCCCAAGCCATGGGGTGGGAGTGGGGGGTGGCCTCACCCACGCGGGGTGTCCCTGCGGGGCTGGGTGAGGGCACGAGCAGGATCTGAAGCCCACCCCCCAAGTGGGATGTCCCGCACAGCACACCCGGGGTGCAGAGGGGAAACTGAGGCAGGGGAGGGTGCCTCAGTTTCCTTGCTCCAGCCTCAAGAAACGATGGCCTTCCCCAGCCCCAGCCCGTGGGGAGAGCCGGTCCCCGTCCCCTCTGCTCCGGTTGGGACGCGCCGCCCGCCAGAACCGGGCAAGAGCCGCGCAGGGCTCGCGGTACCAAGCGCAGTGCCCGTGCCTCAGTTTCCCCCAGCGCATTCGCCGGTCCCGGAGCGGGGGATGAGTCCGACGGGTCACGGCTGGAGCCCTTCCCCACCCCCCGGCCGCACCATCCGTGCCCCTCCCGTCCCCGTGGGTGCCGGGACCGCGGCGGTGCCGGGGTTCGGACCCGGTCCCGCCCGTGGGTACTGGGGACCCGCAGCGGCTCCCGGGGCTCGGAGCGGCTCCCGCCCGCGGATGCCGGAGCCACCCTCGGTGCCGGTGCCGCCGGTGGGTGCGGGGCTCGGAGCGGCTCCCGGTGTCCCCGCGGCCCCTCCACGTGCGGCCGGGGGGCTCGGGGGCGCGGCCTCCACACCGGGGAGGGACCAGAACCACCGGGAGAGGCGGGACCGGCACCGGGGGGGCGCGGCCAGCGGCGGAAGCGCGGAGGCGGAGCGGCGGCGGCGAGGTGGGGGGGGGGGCGCCGCGGCCGTGCGAGGGCGGCGGCGGCGGCCGCCGGTGCCGGTGCGGTCCCGGTGCGGTGCCGGTCCCCGCGGGCCATGCGGCGGCCGTAGCCATGCAGCGCGACGGGGATGCGGCGGCGGCCGCCGCGGCCTCGTACCGGGTGCTCAGCCGGCTGCTGGGCTATGGCACCGGGCCGGAGGCGGGCGCGGCGGGCGGTACCGGTGCCGGTACCGGTACCGGCGCGGCGGGCGGGGGGCGGCTGCTGCCGGGGGCCGGACCGGCGCTGCGCAGCCCGCGGCCGCAGCTGATGGTTTTCCGCAACGCGGCGGCCGAGGGCCGGCCCGGCGAGGACTGCGGCCCGGCGGCGGCGGCGGCGGCGGCGGGCGGGGGGGTCCCGGCGGGCGGCGGGGCCGAGCTGTGCCCGCGGCACCGCTGCGCGCTGGAGCCCAAAGCGGCGGCGGGCTGGGGAGCGGCGGCGCAGAGCGGGCTGGAGCTGCAGCTGGCGGCGCTGGGGCTGCGCCCGCCGGGGCTGGCGGCGAAGGCGGCGGCGGGCACGGGGGGCACCCCCTGCCCGTGCCTCGGGCCGCCCGCCGGCGAGGAGACCAGCGATGCGCTGCTGGTGCTCGAGGCGCTGGAGCCCGACGAGGGCGGCAGCGGCTCCGAGGACGAGCCGGGGTCCCCGGGGCGCGGGGCCGCCCGCGCCGCCGGCAGAACGGCGGGTACCGGCCCCGCGCCGCCGCCCGCGGGCACCGGCACCGGCACCGGCCCCGGCGGCAGGAAGGGCTCGCTCCGCATCCGCCTCAGCCGCCTCTTCCGCACCAAGAGCTGCAGCGGCGGATCGGCCGCCGGGGACGCCGCCAGCGCCGCCGCCTCGGCCGGGAGCCTCACGGATGTGTGCGGGGCCCGCGGCCGCGAGCAGGAGCCGGGCAGGTACGGGGGTACCGGGGGTGGGTGGGGAGGATGCGGCCGGGGATGTCCCGGGGGCCGGGGGTGTCCTGGGGACCATGTCCCTGTGTCCGGGGGTGTCCCCGGGGCCGTGTCCCCGTGGCCGGGGGTGTCCCGGGGGCCGGGGGTGTCCCGGGGGCCGGGGGTGTCCCGGGGCCGTGTCCCCGTGTCCCGGGGGCCGGGGGTGTCCCGGGGCCCGTGTCCCTGGGCCGTGCTGTGATGCTGTGCCGGAGGGGGTGCGAGGCTCCGGGGCCGTCCCGCCCGGCGGGTCCCGGTTGGCATCCGGCTCTCGGAGCGGCTGCCGAGGCCTCGCCGCTCACGCTGGAGCCCGGGAGAAGCCGCTGGAGCTGCTTCAGGCCCACATCCCTGATGGGGATGGTGGAAGAACCTCTGGGAGCGGGGCTTGGAGCATCAGTCCCGGGGGAGAGGAGGCTCGGGGAGACCTTCTTGCTCCACAAATTCCTGACGGGAAGGTGCAGCAGGTCGGGCTCTCCTCCAGGGAACGGGGGATGGGGTGACCCCAGCTGTGCCCCAGGGAGGTTTGGGTTGGATTTTGGGGAAGATTTGTTGGTGCAGAGTGTGGTGAGGCACAGGCCGCCCATGGAAGTGGTGGAATCTCCATCCCTGGAGTCGCTCAGTGAGTGTGGGGATGTGGCACTGTGGGGACACGGGGTTCTGGGGGAGGTTGGACTCGCTGGTCTCAGAGGGCTTCTCCAAATTCTGTGATTCTGTGACCGATGAGTGGGAGAAGGTTCTTCAGGTTGGAGAAGGTCCTTGAGGCTGAAATAGGTTCTCCTGGTCGGAGAAGGTTCTCCTGGTCTGAGAAGGTTCTCCTGGTTGGAGAAGGTTCTTGAAGTGGGAGAAGGTTCTCAACGTACATGAAGGTTCTCCTGGTTGGAGGAGGTTCTCAAGGCTGGAGAAGGTTCTCCTGGCAAAGGAAGGTTCTCAAGGTTGGAGAACATTCTCAAGGCTAGAGAGGGTTCTCCTGGTGGGATAAGGTTTCTGGAGGTTGGAGGAGATTTTCCTGCTGGAGAGAAGGTTCTCCTGGCTGGAGAATGTTCTCGAGCTTGGGGAAAAGGTTCTCCTGGTTAGAGGAGGTTCTTGAGGTGGGAGAGGGTTCTCCTGGCTGGAGATGATTCTCGTGGCAGTGGAGGGTTCTCCTGGTTGGAGGAGGTCCTTGAGGCAGGAGAAGGTTCTTGTGGCTGAAATTTCTCTGGTGGGAGAAGGTTCTCGAGGCTGGAGAAAGATCTTCCACTGGGGGAAGGTTCTTGGGGTTGGAGAAGGTTTTTCTGGTGGGAGAAGGTTCTTGTGGCTGAAATTCCTCTGGTGGGACAAGGTTCTCCAGGCTGGAGAAGGGTTCTGTGGTGGGAGCAGGTTCTCCTGTGGAGTTCCTGCTGGGTCTCCTCGTCTCGCCATTTCCCGGTTTTTCCCCGCAGGAAACACAGACTGACGAGAACCCAAAGTGCCTTTTCCCCGGTCGTGTTCAGCCCCCTCTTCACAGGTGAGGATTTTGGGGGGGATTTCTGCAACTTTGGGTTTTTTTTGTTTGTTTTGCTGTGGGACGAACGGGGAATTTCACTTCTATGGGATCCCAAACCCTCAGAATCTCTGAGGTGTCCCTTGGTCCTGCTGGGCTCAGACCCAAAAAGGAGACCCCAAAGTAAGGCTCTGAGCCCAGGGCAGGGCTTAAACCACAGGAACGGGGTTTGAACGCCAGAAACGGGGTTTAAACCACCAGGAACGGGGTTTAAACCACAGGAATGGGGCCTAAACCACAGGAATGGGGTTTAAACCACCAGGAACGGGGTTTAAACACCAGAATGGGACTTAAACCACCAGGAACAGGGTTTAAACCACCAGGAACAGGGTTTAAACCACCAGGAACGGGGTTTAAACCACCAGGAACGGGGTTTAAACCACCAGGAACGGGGTTTAAACCACCAGGAACGGGGTTTAAACACCAGAAATGGGTTTAAACCCAAGGACGGAGTCTAAGATCCCCCAGGAAATGGTTTAAGCTCAAGGACAGGGTCTAAGACCCCCAGGAAAGGGTTTAAGCCCAAGGACAGAGTCTAAGACCCCCAGGAAAGGGTTTAAGCCCAAGGACAGGGTCTGAGATCTCCAGGGGAGGAGCTGCTTTTCCTCAAAGGAATCTGCAGAGGAAAGCCTGGAGATGCCGAAGCTTTGCTTTAATCTGGGAGGTTGATTTCATTGATTGTCAGTTTATCTGGTTCTTTTTAAAACGACTTTTTTTAAAAATTCAATGATTTTTGAAATGTCCCCGGTGCCAGACGTGGATCAGCTCTGCTCGATGCGGGAATTCCACGCTGGGAAAAAAATAAAAATCCCTTGGATCCTCCTTATCCTATCCAGCTGCTGGGCTTGGGGGGAAAAATTCCCTCCAGGCCTCTCTGAAGATGGAAAAAATTTATTTTGGGAGCGGCAAACGGGGATAAAAAAACCTCCCAGATGCTGTGGGATTCCTTTTTCCGGGTGATGCCAGGCCCAGCTGGGTTTTCCATCTCCTTTTCCAGGCGAGACGGTGTCGCTGGTGGACGTGGACATTTCCCAGCGAGGGCTCAGCTCCCCTCAGCCGCCGACGCCTCCGCCGCCGCCCCGCCGGAGCCTCAGCCTGCTGGGTACTGCCCGGGGCCTGGGAATTGTCCTTGGAAAACTGGGAATTGTCCCTGGAAATCTGGGAATGGTCCTTGGAGCCTTGGGGGTGGTCCCTGGAAACCTGGGAATTGTCCTTGGAGCCGTGGGATTTGTCCTTGGAAACTTGGGAATTGTCACTGGAACCTGGGGAATGTCCCTGGAGCCCTGGGATCTGTCCCTGGAAACCTGGGAATGGTCTTTGGAGCCCTGGGATTTGTCCCTGGAGCCCTGGGAGTTGTCCCTGGAAACCTGGGAATTCCAGTGCTGGAAAAGGAATCCCTGTCCTCCAGCAGTGCCCAAACCAGAGAGGAGCTGTCACTGGGAATCCCCAAATTCCCTTTCCCAACTGTTTTCCCAGACTCTCGTCCTCCCCTGGGAATTCCCAAATTCCCTTTTCCAGGATATTTCCCGGGCTCCCCTGATTCCCTTTTCCGGGCTCCGGGGCTGTGCTGAGAATCCCCAAATTCCCTTTTCGGTGCTGTTTTCTGGGCTCTGCTGGGAATTCCCTTTGCCGGCTGTTTGCCGGGCTCCCCTGGGAAGCCCCGGATTCCCTTTTCCCGCTGTTTCCCGGGCTCGGGGCTGTCCTTTCCCGCTTTCCACCTGTTCTCTCTCTCCTAGATGATTTCAGCGGGACGCTGCCTCCGGCCGTGCTGCTGGGGCCCGTGGGCTCCTCCCTGCAATCCTTCCCGCTGCCGCCGCCTCCGCCGCCCCACGCCGCAGGTCAGCCCCGCCGCCGACAGCTCTGCCTTGCCTTCCCTCTGGAATTCTGCCTTTCCTCCTGGAATTCTGCTTTTTCTCTCCTGGAATTCCGCCTTTTCCCTCCGGGAATTCTGCCTTTTCCCTCCTGGAATTCTGTATTTTTCCCCTCCTGGAATTCTGTATTTTTCCCCTCCTGGAATTCTGCCTTTTCCCTCCTGGAATTCTGCCTTTTCCCTCTTGGAATTCTGCTTTTTCTCTCCTGGAATTCTGCCTTTTCCCTCCTGGAATTCTGCCTTTTCCCTCCTGGAATTCTGCCTTTTCCCTCCTGGAATTCTGCCTTTTCCCTCCTGAAATCCCCACTTTTTCCCTCCTACAATCTCCAGGTGTCTCTGGGTGACAGTGACAGTGGCCCTGGGCTGTCCCTGTGAGTGACAATAACCCCGGCTGTCTCTGGGTGACGGTGACAGTGACAATGACCCCGGCTGCCTGTGTGTGACAATGACGGTGACAATGACAATGACCTGTCTGTCTGTGTGTGACAGTGATGGTGATGGTGACAGTGACAATGACAATGACCTGGCTGTCTGTGTGTGACAATGACAGTGACAATGACCCGGCTGTCTGTGTGTGACAGTGACAATGACCTGTCTGTGTGTGACAGTGACAATGACCCGGCTGTCTGTGTGTGACAATGACAGTGACAGTGACAATGACCTGTCTGTCTGTGTGTGACAATGACGGTGACAATGACAATGATGGTGACAATGTCCTGTCTGTCTGTGTGTGATGGTGACAATGACAATGACAATGACAATGACAATGGCGGTGACCATGCCCGTCCGTGTGTCCCCGCAGACGCCTTTCCCCGGCCGGCGCCGCTGCGGCCGCCCGAGGCCCCGGGCCCGCCGCCCCTGCCCTGTCCCCTGGCCCGGCCCGACCCCGGCAGCTTCGCCGCCAGCCTCAGGGAGCTGGAGAAGGTGCGGGAACAGCCGGGAAAGCCGGAGCCTCGGGACGGGATTTGGGAATGCGGCCCCTCAGGGACTGGGATTTGGGAATGCGGCCCCTCAGGGACCGGGATTTGGGAATGTGGCCCCTCAGGGACTGGGTTTTGGGAATGCGGCCCCTCAGGGACCGGGATTTGGGAATGCGGCCCCTCAGGGACCGGGATTTGGGAATGCGGCCCCTCAGGGACGGGGATTTGGGAATGCGGCCCCTCAGGGACCGGGATTTGGGAATGTGGCCCCTCAGGGACTGGAATTTGGGAATCTGAGCCCTCAGGGACCGGGATTTGGGAATGGGGCCCCTCAGGGACTGGGATTTGGGAATCTGAGCCCTCAGGGACTGGGATATGGGAATGCGGCCCCTCAGGGACTGGGATTTGGGAATGCGGCCCCTCAGGGACTGGGATTTGGGAATGTGGCCCCTCAGGGACTGGAATTTGGGAATCTGAGCCCTCAGGGACTGGGATTTGGGAATCTGAGCCCTCAGGGACTGGGATTTGGGAATCTGAGCCCTCAGGGATTGGGATTTGGGAATCTGAGCCCTCAGGGATTGGGATTTGGGAATCTGAGCCCTCAGGGACTGGGATTTGGGAATCTGAGCCCTCAGGGACTGGGATTTGGGAATCTGAGCCCTCAGGGATTGGGATTTGGGAATCTGAGCCCTCAGGGATTGGGATTTGGGAATCTGAGCCCTCAGGGACTGGGATTTGGGAATCCAACCTGTTGGAGTTTGGGATTTGGGAATCTGAGCCCTCAGGGACTGGGATTTTGGAATCTGCGGCCTCAAGGACTGGGATTTGGGAATGCGGCCCCTCAGGGACTGGAATTTGGGATTCCAACCCCACATGGTTTGGGATTTGGGAAACTGGTCCCTCAGGGATTGGGATTTGGGAATCCATGACCTCTCCTGAGCGTGGCAGGGGGGTCTGGATCCACTCTGTCCCCTCAGGGCGTGGCATCCCCTCATCCCTCGATCCCACACAGCTGAAATTCCACAGGGGGGAACACCCTGCTGGGAGTTTTCCCTTGGGAATCGAATGGAATTCCCTGCTGGGAGTTTTCCCCTGGGAATCCTCATTCTCCCTGTTCCCAGTGCGGGTGGTACTGGGGCCCCATGAACTGGGAGGACGCCGAGATGAAGCTGAAGGGAAAACCCGACGGATCCTTCCTGGTGCGGGACAGCTCCGACCCCCGCTACATCCTGAGCCTGAGCTTCCGCTCGCAGGGAATCACGCACCACACCCGCATGGAGCACTACCGAGGTGAGACATTCCCGGGATCTGGGAATCTTTGGGATGCCATTCCCAGCTCCAGTAAATAAATTCACCCACCATATCCACATGGAGCAGTACCAAGGTGGGACATTCCCAGAATTCGGGATTCCTTGGGATGCCATTCCCGGCTCCAGTAAATAAATACCGAGGTGAGACATTCCCGGGATCTGGGATTCCTTGGGATGCCATTCCCAGCTCCAGTAAATACACACCCGCATGGAGCACTACCGAGGAACAAAGAGCTGGCAGTGCCCTGGAAAAATGGGAATAAGGAGCTGGAAAAATGGGAATAGAGAGCTGCCAGTTCCCTGGGAAAATGGGAATGAAGCAATTCCCCTATGATTTCCCAAAAATTCCTTGGAATGATGGGAATAATTCTCCTATGATTTCCCAAAAATCCCCTGGAATAACAGGAATGATTCCCCTGTGCTTTCCCAAAAATTCTTTGGAATAAAGAGAATCATTCCCCCGTCCTTTACCAAAAATCCCCTGGGATAACTGGAATGGTTTCCCTGTACTTTCCCAAAAATCCCCATGGAAAAAAGGAATAATTCCCCTGTGATTTCCCGAAAATCCCCTGGAATAACGGGAATTCTTTCTCTCCGGAAGGGACCTTCAGCCTGTGGTGCCACCCCAAGTTCGAGGACCGCTGCCAGTCCGTGGTGGAGTTCATCAAGAGGGCGATCATGCACTCCAAAAACGGGAAATTCCTCTACTTCCTGCGCTCCCGGGTCCCAGGTGAGCCTGGGAATGGGATTTCCAGGGATCCAGGTCAACCTGGGAATGGGATTGTCCAGGTGAATCTGGGAATGGGATTGTCCAGGGATCCAGGATTCCAGGTGAGTTTGGGAATGGAATTGTCCAGGGTTCTCGGTGAGCCTGGGAATGGGATTTCCAGGGATCCAGGCCAGCCTGGGAATGGGATTGTCCAGGGTTCCAGGTGAGTTTGGGAATGGAATTGTCCAGGGTTCTTGGTGAACCTGGGAATGGGATTTCCAGGGATCCAGGTGAGCTTGGGAATGGGATTGTCCAGGTGAGTTTGGGATTGGGATGTTCCAGTTGAGCCCAGGGATTTAATCCTGCCTGACCCTGATCTCCAAAATCTCCTTTTTTTCCCCCAAAAAGGTCTCCCTCCGACGCCCGTCCAGCTCCTGTATCCCGTCTCCAGGTTCAGCAACGTCAAATCCCTGCAGCACCTTTGCCGCTTCCGCATCCGGCAGCTGGTCCGGATCGACCACATTCCCGAGCTCCCGCTGCCCAAGTGAGTCCTGGAATTCCCCCCGGATCAAAACCTGGAATTCCCTCCCCCTGGATCTAAACCTGGAATTCCCTCCCAGGTCAAAACCTGAAATTCCCCCCGGATCAAAACCTGGAATTCCCTCCTGGATCAAAACCTGGAATTCCCTCCCCCTGGATCAAAACCCGGAATTCCCTCCGAATCAAAACTTGGAATTCCCTCCCCCTGGCTGTGTTTTGGGAATTTTGGAGGAGTTGTGTCTCAGGGATCTGGCAGTTCCCAAAGAGCCTCTGGTTGTATTTTGGGAATTTCAGTGGGGCTCAAGGATTCAGCTCTTCCCTGTGTTTTTCCAGGGAAGAGGTTCTGGCTGTGTTTTGGGAATTTTGGAGGGGCTGTGACTCAAGGATCCGGCTGTTCCCGGTGTTTCTCTGGGATGTATTTTGGGAATTTTGGAGGGGCTGTGACTCAGGGATCCGGCTGTTCCCGGTGTTTTCCAGGCCCCTGATCTCCTACATCCGCAAGTTCTACTACTACGACCCGCAGGAGGAGCAGTACCTGTCCCTCAAGGAGGCCCAGCTCATCTCCCGACAGAAGCAGGAGCCGGAATCCTCCACGTAGCGGAGCCGGCCCGGCACCCACGGTGCGGGAATGGCTCGGGAGGGGCTGGGAATGGCCTGGAATGGGCTGGGAATGGGCTGGGATGGCTGGGAATGGGCTGGGATGGTCGGGAATGGACTGGAGATGGTCTGGAATGATCTGGGAATGGTGTGGGAATGGTTGGAACTGGTCTGGGATGGTTGGGAATGGTCTGGGAATGGTCTGGGGTGATTTGGAATGGTCCAGGGATGGTCATGATTGTCTGGAATGATCTGGGAATGGTTCAGGGGTGATGTGGGAATGGTCAGGAATGGTCTGGGAATGCCCCAGGAATGCCTCAGGAATGCCTCAGGAATGGTGCCTCATCCCAGGATCCAACCCACATCCCGCTGTTCCCTCTGAACCACAAATCCCTGGAGAAGCCGTGGCTGCTCCCTCAGGGGCCTACTACCATTCCCAAACTTTCTTTGGGAATGAAAACAAGAGTTCCTGGCCTTGTGCCATTTCCAAACTTTGGGAAGGAGAGCAAGTCTTCCTTGCCTGTTACGCTTGGGAATGGGAACAGCATTCCTGGCTTTTTCCCATTCCCAAACTTTCTCTGGAGAGGAGAACAAGGTTTCGTGTTCTTCTGCCATTCCCAACTTTCCTTGGGAAGGGGAATGAGGCTTCCTGGCCTTTTGCCATTCCCAGAATTTCTCTGGGAAGGAGAACAAGACTTCCTGGCCTTTTGCCATTCCCAACTTTCCTCAGGAAGGAGCCCAACCCTTTTTCCCATTCCCATTCCCATCCTCCTCTCCCCCAGGCTCGATCCCCTCTGATCCCATCTGATCCCAATTCCCGGTGTTTTTTTCCCGGCAGGAATTTGGTTGTTGCCCTCCTGCCGTGGTGGGGAGGAAGCCAAGCTGCTCCTGCTGCTGCTGCTGCTGCTCTTTTCCCTGGAGGAGAGGGCCCAGCATTCCCAGGAATCCCAGGAATCCCAGCATTCCCAGGAAAGCCAGCAGAGCAGGATTCCTCCTGGGAAAAGGAATCCCGGCCCCGCGGGATCCCTGCGGAACGAAGAATGTCACGGCACTATTCCCAAGTTTTCCTGGAAGTTTTCAGTTTGGATTGTCTTTGGATTTTTTCTTTTTTTTTTATTTTTTTTGATTTTTCAGCATGAGGAAGAAAAAAAAACAACTGGATTTTCTGATCCCACCTTGGAGGAATTTCAAGGGGAATTTTCTGGGAAGATCCCTCTGTTCCCAAGGCTTTGATCCTCACTGGAGAGCTGCAAATGGAGCCAAGGGGTTGGAATAACCCCTGGGAATAACCCCTGGGAATAAACAAAATGTGGAATTCTCAGCAGCTCCACCCACTTCCCAGGATTTTGGGAAAAAGAGATCCAAACCCTCCTGGGGAAAAGCTTGAAGAAGAAGAAGAGGAAGGAAGAGGGTTGGGATATGATGGATCCGAAGGGAACATTCCTGAAAAAGCTGCTGGAATTTCTGGAGCTCTCCCTGGATCCTGCGGGGATCCCAAAATTTGGGATGGGCCCAGCCTATCCCTGGTGGATTCCAGAGGCTGGGAATGAAGATTTCCTCTGGTGGATCCTCCTGGAGCAGCTCCCTCCTCCCCCTGGGATATTTGGGAACGGCAAATCCAGGAGAGTCGTGGAATCTTTCCCGATTTTTGGGCACAAATTCCCTCCCTCACCCCTTTGGGATCCCGGGCTGCTGCTCCATCCCCTGAGCGGGAATTCCATGGGGGAACTTCCAGCTGGGAATTCAAGGAGCAGCATTCCAGTGCTCTGAATCCAAGGAATTGCCCCATCCTGCTGGAGCTGAGGATTCCCTGGGAGCTGCCAGGACCTGGAATTCTTGTGGATTTTAATGGAAAAGAAAATAATTCCAAGCTGCTTTGCCATGAAAGGTGCTACAAATCCTGCCCTGCCTGCCTCCTCCAGCTGGGATTTGGAGGGAAAAAACAAACAAGCAAAAAAAACCACAATCCTTAAAAAAAATTCCAGGTTTCTGGGTGAAACCGAGCTTGAAAAATCCATGGAAATACCTCGTGGGACTGTGTGAGGGAAAACCTTCCTAAAAGCCAGGCCTGCTCCAGCTTTTCATCCCAAAAAAACCCCAAAAAACAAAACAAGAGACTCTGGAGGAAAAAAAAAGAAGGAAAAAAAGAAAAGTGGATCAGGGATGGATAATGGGATGCAGGGAATTTGGGAAGGTGGGAGGGAAAATCCAGGGGAAATCCTGTTTTTTCCGTGGGGTGGTGGTGGCAGCATTCCCACTTTTCTTTGGGAATGGGGGCACTGGGAATGGGAGCTGGGGTTTTTTTTTTGGGTTTTTTTTTGCCACCTTTGGGTGCTCCCAATCCCCCAAAAACTCATCCTGGGGTGTTCCAGTGACCCGAAATCCCACCCTGGGGTGCTCCCAGTGCCACTTGGGGGTTTTCCCAGTGCTCCCAGTCCCTAAAAATCCACCCTGGGTGCTCCCAGTACCCCAAAATCCCACCCTGGGGTGCTCCCAGTCCCTAAAAATTCTCCCTGGGGTGCTCCCAGTGCTCCCAGTGCCCCAAAATCCCATCCTGGGCAGCTCCCAGTTCTCCCAGTGCCACCCTGGGGTGTTCCCAGTCCCTAAAAATTCAAACTGGGGAGCTCCCAGTGCCACCTTGGGATGCTCCCAGTGCCCCAAAATCCATCTTGGGGTGCTCCCAGTCCCTAAAAATTCCCACTGGGGTGCTCCCAGTGCCCCAAAATCCACCCTGGGTAGCTCCCAGTGCTCCCAGTGCCACCTTGGGGTGCTCCCAGTGCCACCCTGGGGAGCTCCCAGTGCTCCCAGTGCTCCCAGTCCAGGGCTTCACCCCAAATCCCAGGAATTTCACGGGATCCAGCCTCACCTTTGGAGGAGGAACGAGCAAATTCCAGCAGCTCCCAGGGCAGGAGATTCCCAGGATTTTGGGAATCACCCTTTGGAATTTAAAAAAAAAAAAAAAAAAAAAAGCAGCTTTTGCTTCGTTTTATTTTGATTTTTATTTTTATCCCCCCCCTTTTTTTTTAAATTTTTAATTTTAATTTTAATTTTTTTTTTTTGGTGTGTGTGCTTAATTTATTCAAATAGTGGCTGTATAATTTATTTTCGTAAATATATGAGAAAAGTTACTAAATGGTTAAAAATAAAATAATAATAATAATAAAAAAAAAACCAAACGGACTTTGCAGGCCAATCTTTCAGATTTAATGAAAAAAATTAATTAATAATAATAATAATATTATTAATAATAATGGGTTTTGATATGAACCACAAATGCACTTTTGGGTGTGTTTGGTTATTTTTTGGGGTGGGTTTGTGTGTAAATATTGTATTTATAGGCATGTTTGGCCTCTTGTGGGGGATTTTAGGAACTGCTGGTGTGGAATTCCTGGATTTTGGGGGTTTTGGGGTGTTTTTTTTTTGGGGGGTGTTTTTTTTCCCTATGGGGCCAGCCAGGAAGAGCTGACATGGTGTTTGTAAAACTCATTTTTAGCGTCGATTTTTGGGGGTTTTTTTTTGGGGTTGTTTGGGATTTTTTTTTTTTAATTTTTGCTGTGGGAAGGGAAGGGAGAAAGGGTTTGAAATAAAAATCTTGGAAATTGTTGGATGTTTTTTGTGGTGGATTCCGAGTCCTTGACCCCCTCCCAACCCCTCCAGGTCCTTTTTGTCCTTTTTTTTTGGGGCATCCTCGGACCCCAAAATCCAAAATATTTGGGGTTCAGCTCTGGGTGGCCCAAAATTCCATCGGGGAGTTCTCAGTGCCCCCCAAAAATCCATCAGGAAATTCTCAGTGCCCCCCAAAAATTGAGAGAACCCAAAAATCCATTGGGGAGTTCTCAGTGCCCCTCAAAAATTCATGGAGAGTTCTGGGTGCCCCCTCACGGTGCCCCAAAATCCATCGGGGATCATCCAGTGCCCCCCAAATTATTTGGGGTGCAGCTATGAGTGCCCCAAAAATCCATCAGGGGAATGGGGCAGATCTGGGGTCCCTGGGGTGGGGAGCAAGGGAAATTTGGGATCCCTGGAATGGGGAAAATGCGGATTTGGGGTTCCTGAGGCTGATTTGGGGTCCCCAGAGGCAGATTTGGGGTCCCTGGGATGGGGAATGAGGTGGATTTGGGGTCCCTGAGGCGGATTTGGGGTCCCCTGAGGCCAATTTGGGGTCTCCAGAGGTGGATTTGGGGTCCCTGAGGCTGATTTGGGTTCCCTGGAGGTGGATTTGGGGGTCCCCAGGATGGGGCAGATTTGGGGATGGGGAATGGGGCAGATTTGGGGTCCCTGGGGTGGGGGAAAAGGCAGATTTGGGGTCCCCAGGATGGGAAGCGAGGCCGGTTTGGGTTCCCTGGAGGTGGATTTGGGGTCCCCAGAGGTGGATTTGGGGTCCCTGGGATGGGGAATGAGGTGGATTTGGGGGTCCCCAGGATGGGGCAGATTTGGGGATGGGGAATGGGGCAGATTTGGGGTCTCTGGGGTGGGGGAAAGGCGGATTTGGGGTCTCTGAGGCCGATTTGGGCTCCCCGCAGCCCGGGTGGAAACTTTGGGGTGGTGCCGAATGTGTGACCCCGGGAATGCTCCGGGAATTCGGGGCCCCGGGATGCGCCCACGGCACGGGAGGAGCCCGTGGGGACCGGGGCCCCCCAAAAAAAGCCGCTTTTGTCCGGCCGCCCCCGAGCGGGGCCGGAGTTTTATTTTTATCGCCTCGTTTGCAGCAGAAAGCGGCGCGGGCCGGACAAAGGCGCTTTCTTCCCGCTCCGCTGCCCCCGTCCCCATCCCGATCCCAATCCTGATCCCGATCCTGATCCCAATCCCGATCCCCATCCCCATCTTGATCCCCATCCCGATCCTGATCCTGAGCCCGATCCCAATCCTGATCCCAATACCGATCCTGATCCCGATCCCGATCCTGACCCCAATCCCAATCCCGACCCCCACCCCAATCCCAATTCCAATCTTGACCCCGATCCCCATCCTGATCCTGACCCCAATCCTCATCCCAATCCTGATCACAATCCCAACCCCGACTCCGATCCCAACCCCGACTCCAATCCCAACCCTGACCCTGATCCCAGCCCCAATCCCGATCCCGATCCCGACCCCGATCCTAATTCCAATCCTGACCACGATCCTCATCCCAATCCCCATCCCGATTCCAATCCTGACCCCCATCCCAACCCCAATCCTGATCCCGATCCTGATCCCAACCCCCACCCCGATCCCAATTCCCATCCTGACCTCGATCCCCATCCTGATCTCGATCCTTATCCCGACCCCAATCCTCATCCCAATCCCGATCCCATCCCAAAATTCCATCCCTCAATCCCATCTCCCAAATCCCACCCCAAAATCCTATCCCTGAGCCTGGGATCCGTCCAAGGGAAACTGAGGCACGGCCTGGAACCAGGCAGGGAAACTGAGGCACGGCAGGGGATCAATCCAAGGGAAACTGAGGCACAGGATCGATCCATGGGAAACTGAGGCACATCAGGGGATCAATCCAAGGGAAACTGAGGCACAGGATCAATCCAAGGGAAACTGAGGCACGGCACAGGATCAATCCAAGGGAAACTGAGGCAGAGCAGGGGATCAGTGCAAGGGAAACTGAGGCACAGCAGGGGATCAATCCAAGGGAAACTGAGGCACGGCAGGGGATCAATCCAAGGGAAACTGAGGCAGAGCAGGGGATCAATCCAAGAGAAACTGAGGCACGGCCTGGAACCAGGCAGGGAAACTGAGGCACGGCAGGGGATCAATCCAAGGGAAACTGAGGAAGAGCACGGGATCAACCCAAGGGAAACTGAGACACGTCATGGGACAAATCCGAGGGAAACTGAGGCACAGCAGGGGATCAATCCAAGGTAAACTGAGGCACATCCCAGGCCCAGGGCAGCGCAGCCGGGGCCGTGCCCGGGCACGGAGGGCAGGCGCGGTGCCCGCTGTCCCGCTGTCCCGCTGTCCCGCTGTCCCGCTGTCCGGCCGAGCCGCGCCGGGTGCTGGCAGCGCCCCAGGGGTCACTGGCACTCCGAGCAAACGTTTACCCAGCCCCGAGGGCTTGGCACGGCCCCGGAGCCACCGAGCCCCGGCCAAGGCGGGACACCGAGGGACAGCCGAGCCCCGGCCAAGGGAGGGACACCGAGGGACAGCCAAGCCCCGGCCAGCGGGACAGGGCGCAGGGACACTGCAGGGACATCCCCGGAGTGCCACAGCCCCGGGAAATGTGGGAGAGGCATGGAATCCGTGGATCGAGGGATGGACGGATGGATGGATGGATGATGGATGGATGGATGGGTGGAATCCAGGGATGGATGGATGGATGGATGGATGGAATCATGGAATAAATGGATGGATGAATGGATGGAATCCATGGATGGATGGATGGATCCATGGATGGATGGATGGATCCATGGATGGATGATGGATCCATGGATGGATGGATGGATGATGGATGGATCCATGGATGGATGATGGATCCATGGATGGATGGATGGATGATGGATGGATCCATGGATGGATGATGGATCCATGGATGGATGGATGATGGATCCATGGATGGTGATGGATGGATGGATCCATGGATGGATGGATGGATGGATGGTGATGGATGGATGGATGGATGGATGGATGGATGGATAGATGGATGATGGATGGATCCATGGATGGATGATGGATGGAAGGATCCATGGATGGATGATGGATGGATGGATCCATGGACGGATGGAGGAGGAGGAGGGAAGCAGCAGGACGGCACCGGCGGGGTCCCGGTGGGGCCGGGCGGAGGGGAGGGAGGGGATGGCGGCGGCGGGGTCCGGGTGGGGCGGGCCGGGCCCCCTCCCGCCGCCGCCGCTCACATGACGCCGCTCCCGGGATGCGCCGGGCGGCGCCGGGCGTGGGCGGCGGCGGCGGCGAGAGGCGGCGGCAGCGGGGCCGCACCGGGGCGCGCCGGCTCCGCCACCGGCACCGCCACCGGCACACCGGGTGTGGGCAGCGGGACCGGCCCATGGCCCGCGGCCGGCCCCATGGAGCAGGTAGGACCGGGACCGGGATAAGGAGCGGGACCCGGCCAGGGAGCAGCGGGACCGGGGCCGGCCGATAACCGGACGGGTCCATCACCCACGGGCGCGGCGCCGTTCCGGGGGTCCGCCACCCCCGGGGGACCCCACCTGCCGCCGGGGGGACCCCACCTGCCCCCGCCGCGCTTCCCACCTGCTGCTCGCTGCCCCACCCGCCTTCCCCCGGCCCTCGGCCTCGCCCCCCGCCGCTCACCGGCTGCCCCGGCACCACCCGAGCCCCTCGGCAGCATCGCCCACCGGGGACCCTCGGCAGCACCCCCGAACCCCCCCAGCGCCGCCCGTGTGCCTCGCCCAGCCCAGGAGTGCCGCGGGACCCTTTCCCTGTCCCTGTCCCTGCCACAGCCCGGGGTGGGTCCCTCCCGCGATTTGGGGAGGGGGTTTCTGCTCGGGGAACGGGCTGGAGTCGCCGCGGGGTGTGGGAAAACCTCGGGGGTTTTTTTATTTGCTCCGTTTTCCCATCCCGTTATTCACCGGCCAACGCCTCCAGCCCCCGTCCCGCTCCGGCCGGGCTCTGCTGCCCCTCCTCGCCGCCCACCCGAGGCTGGGGGTCTCTCGGACCTCCCGTGCCGTGGCTCTGCGTGGACAGGACGCACCCGCACCCCTGGGGTGGGGGTCAACCCCTCCCCACCATCCCCCTCTCAATTTTGGGGTCCAGCTCCCTCCCCGCAGCCCCCGGGGCTCTGCCTCGTGTTTCCCCCTCCTCCCCCCAGCATCGCTGGGGCTCAGCCCGGATCCCAGCGCAGGATTTGATGCCTCGTGGGTGCCCCGCACCCCCCGACCCTCGGAAAGGCTGGAGGGGGCTGGGGTGGCTCTGGGGACCCGCGCGGAGCCCCCGCACGCAGCGAGCCCCGGCCGCACGTTGGGGGCCGCGTGCTGCCAAATCCGCCCACCCCCCCTTTCCCCCGAACCGCGGCGCGGGGGGAGCACCGCGGGTGTCCCAGCGTGGCCGTGACACCCAGCTGGGTCACCATCGCCAACCCCGCACCCCCGGGATGTCCCCCCGCCCCACCGGCAAAACCACCGCGCGTGGCCCGCGGGGACATCCCGGGGGTGCAGCATCCCCCCCGCTGCCGGCTGCGTTTCCCCCGCTGGAAAAAAAAAGAAATAATCCCCTCTCTTCCCACATCCAGCTGCAATGCAGAGGAGCTCCCGAGCCTTCCCTGCCGCCCTGATTGGCGGCGGCGCCTCTGGGAAGGGGCCGTGGTAATTTTAGGCCGTGAGCGGCACAGGTTGGCATGTGCCCGCGGGCACCGGGCACGGCCCGGAGGCTCCGCCAGCGCCGCCCCGCCGCTCTCGTTCCTCCCGGGAGGAGCGGCACCCACAGCCCGCGGCAGCCGGGGATGCTGCGCGGAGCCCGGGGCACCCCAAATCCATCCCCGCAGCATCGCGGCCCCTCCCTGATGTGCGAGGAGCACGTAAGTCCTCGGTGCCCCCCGGGATTCCCGGCCGCTCCCCCCGTGTCCCCGCTGCCGTTGATCCCCACGGGGCTCGGGGCTGTAACCCTTTCGTGTGGCCGCCCGCTCGCTCAAAATGGCTTCGTGCTGCTGCTGCCGCCCCGGGGAACGGGAGCTGCCGGAGCCGGGAGGGCGCTGGGAAATGAGGGGGGGACACCCGGCGAGACCCCACCCCAGCGGGGCACCCACGCCACCCCCGGGTCACTCTCCGCGCCCCGCCCCGATTCCGCAGATCCCCCCCACCCCATCCCCAACCTCCTCCCCGCTCCCGCTTTTCTTTCCTTCATTTTAATTCCCGGGATTCGGTTCGAACCCGTTTTCCACCGGGCTGGGTTCGCCTCTCGCTGCCTTTGTCTGCGGCGAGGCAGCGGCTCCGCGGGGAGCGGCGGGCGGGGGGGCTCCTGCTGCCCCCCAAAACCGCCGGGATTTGGGGTGGGGGGCTTCGGGAGCGACGGATCGGCCCCAGCGAGGGCGGCGGGGTGGGCAGCGGGAGGGAGGCAGGGCGGTGATTTTCGGGCGGATGGGCACGGAATGGGGCGTGGGGGAGCCTTGGCAGGTACGTGGGGACACGGGTGGGGCTCGGCAGACAAAGAACGGGGATTCTTTGGGGTGGGGAGGGACATCTGGGGGGCGTGGTGGCACCCCAGCCTTGGGGACACCTGTGGGGAGAGTGCCCAGGGGTGGGGATGGGATTTGGGGGGGTCTCCTGGAGCCTCTCCACCCCAGGATGGGGCTCGGCCCTCGCCGTGTCCTTGTCGCTGACCTCGTGCGAGGGTCAGTCCCTGTCCCCGCAGGGTCAGTGCCACACGGCCAGCGCAGCTTGTGTCACCTCCTGGGTGGCACCGGGGACACCAAGAGGGGACTCAGAGTGCCGGGAGCCACAGCAGCGTCCTGCCGGGGGTGTCGCAGGAGATCTGGGGTCCCTGGAGTGAGGAGTGAGGGAAATTTGGGATCCCTGGGATGGGGAAAAGGTGGATTTGGGGTGTCACAGGAATGGGGCAGATCTGGGGTCCCTGGAGTGAGGAGAGAGGCAAATTTGGGATCCGTGGGATGGGGGAAAAGGCGGATTTGGGGTCTCAAGGATGGGGAGTGAGGCCGGTTCGAGGAGCGGGGTCAGTCCCTGTCCCCGCAGGTGAGTGCCACACGGCCAGCGCAGCTTGTGTCACCTCCTGGGTGGCACTGGGGACACCAAGAGGGGACTCAGAGTGTCGGGAGCCACAGCAGCGTCCTGCCGGGGGTGTCGCAGGCCGGACGCGGCCGTGTGTCCCCTCGTGGGGGACGCAGCGAGAGGGACCCCGAGGAGTGGCACTGCCAGGAGCGGGTGGCACAGCTGGAGGAGCCTCTGCCCCTCCTCTGGGGAGGGACGGACGCGGGTCAGGTTGGCCCTCGGTGCCACAACCAGCCGGAGGGGACATTTCCTGGGAAGTCCCTCTGGAGAGTGGCCAGCGGTGCCAGCCGGGGTGGCCGGAGCCGCGTGGGCAGAGGGCAGCCGTGGGCACATCCCGCCTGGCACATCCCAGGGAGGTGTCCCACGGATGGGACAGCAGACAGGGACATGTCCCCCGATATCTGGTGACATTTGGTCCCTCCCCGTGTGTCCCGCAGTTGTGGGGTGGGGGTGTCCCGTTGTCCCCTGTGGGGAGCAAATCCCGTCGCTCCCATCCCGCTGTTTGTCCCCTCCTGCTTCCCGAGGCCGGGCAGGGGCCAGCAGTGGTGGCACTGTCCCCCCTGTGTCCCCTCAACGCTGGCACCCACATTTCCAGAGGGAAAACCCACCCATCCCACCCCTGTGGGTGGCACCAGGGTGGCACCACTGCTGTCCATCCCCGTTTTCTGGGTGTCCTTTGTGGTGCCACCCCTGCGTTCCCCGGGATGTCCCTTCGCTGTCCCCTGCCCATCCTGGGGTGACAAATGTGGCAGCTGCCACCCCGAGAGCGGCTCCGGTGCCCGTGGGCTCCGTCCAGCCCCGAATTCCGGCGGGGAATGGCCCGGGGGGCCGTGCCCGCTGCGGAGCCCGCGGGAAGTTGTTGTGGGCACGGGAGTTCCTTCACGGTGCCACGGAAAAGTCGCGCTGGGCAGCCACGGGGTGGCACAGGCTGGCAGTGCCGGGAATGTGGATTGGCACGGGCTGGCATTCCCGGGAATGTGGGTTGGCACGGGTTAGCATTCCTGGGAATGTGGATTGGCACGGGTTGGCATTCCCAGGAATGCTGCGTGGCACGGGCTGGCATTCCTGAGAATATGGGTTGGCACGGGTTGGCATTCCTGGGAATGTGGATTGGCACGGGCTGGCACTCCCAGGAATGCTGTGTGGCACAGGCTGGCATTCCCAGGAATGTGGATTGGCACGGGCTGGCATTCCCGGGAATGCGGGGTGGCACGGGTTGGCATTCACGGGAATGCTGCATGGCACGGGCTGGCATTCCCAGGAATGTGGATTGGCACGGGCTGGTATTCCTGGAATTTCAGGGTGTCACGGGCTGGTATCCCCGGGAATACGGGTTGGCATGGGCTGGCATTCCCGGGAATGTGGGTTGGCACGGGCTGGCATTCCCGGGGGCACGTCTGGGACAGAGAGGGGACAGAGAGGGGACAGAGAGGGGACAGAGAGGGGACAGAGAGGGGACAATGCCACCCGCCAGCAGCGGGGGAGGCATCTCGGGGTGCTGTGGGGGGCTAACGGGATGTGACCCCGCTGTGCCCTGCCCTGGGCCCTGCTGGCTCCAGCCCTGGCACTGTGGTGGCTCTGTCCCCTCCCTGCCGTGTCCCTGTGTCCCCAAGGCTTGTGGTGGCCGTCGTTCCTCCCGGTTCTCTTCACCTCCTCTCTCTTCCCTGGCGCACGTGCCTCAGTTTCCCTCCCGAAATCGCCCCCCACGCCACCCCAGGGCCGGTGCTGGGTCCTGGCTGTCCCCACCTCTCTGTCCCCATTCCGGATGTCCCCATCCCTCTGTCCCCACCCCTTTGTTCCCATCCCTGTCCCCATCCCTGTCCCCATCCCTCTGTCCTCATTCTGGCTGTCCCCATCCCTCTGTCCTGGCTGTCCCCTGGGTGACACAGCCCTGCCCCTGGCTGTCCCCTGCCCATTGCTGGGTGTCCCCTGCCCATCCCTGGGTGTCCCATTCCTGTCCCTGTCCCAGTGTCTGCATGTCCCTTGCCTGGTCCTGTTCCTGGGTGTCCCCTGCCCACCCTGGGTGTCCCCTGCCCATCCTGGATGTCCCCATCCCCATCCCTGGGTGTCCCCATCCCCATCCTGGGTGTCCCAAGTCCCTGCCTGGCCTGGTCCCTGGGATTTTCCCCATCCCCATCCCTGGGTGTCCCCTGCCCACCCTGGGTGTCCCACTCCTGTCCCGGTCCCCGTGTGCCCTGTCCTGGTCCCTGGATGTCCCCCCGTGTTCCTGGGTGTCCCTTGCCCATCCCTGGTGCCAGCTCGGTACCGGTTCCCACTGTCCCGGTGTTGGTGCCGGTCCCCGATCCCCCCCCGCCGTCCCGGTGCCGGTTCCGCCGTCCCGGTGCCGGTTCCCGTTCCCCCCCCGCCGTCCCGGTGCCGGTTCAGCCATCCCGGTGCCTGTTCCCATTCAGCCCCCGCCATTCCGGTCCCGGTTCCGTCGTCCCGGTGCCACCTCGCTGTCCCGGTGGCGGTTCCGCCGTCCCGGTGCCGGTTCCCGTTCCCCCCCCGCCGTCCCGGTGCCGGTTCCCGTTCCCACCCCGCCATCCCGGTGCCGGTTCCACTGTCCCGGTGCCGGTTCCCGTTCCCCCCACGCCGTCCCGGTGCCGGTTCCACTGCTCCGGTGCCGGTTCCCGTCCCCCCCCCGCCATCCCGGTGCCGGTTCCGCCTCCCGGTGCCGGTTCCACTGTCCCGGTGCCGGTTCCCGTTCCCCCCCGCCGTACCGGTGCCGGTGCCGTGCCGGTCCCTCCCGCCGGCCGGGCCGTACCGAGCCGCCCCGCGCCCCGCCCGCCGCCGCGGGCACCCGGAGGAGGCGGAGCCGCGACCGGGGCCGGGGCCGGGGCCGGCCCAGCCCGAGCCGAGCCGTGCGGAGCCGAGCCGGACCGCACCGAGCGGGGCCGGGCCGGGCCGAACCGAACGGGAGCGCTCCGTGCGGGGCCGCACCGGGCAGCGGCGGGCGGGGCCGTGCCGAACCGAGCCGTGCGGAGCCGGGCCGGGCCGAACCGAGCCCGCCGCGCCCCGATGAATGGGATCGCCTTCTGCCTGGTCGGGATCCCGCCGTCCGCCCCCGCGGTGAGCGAACCGGGGACACCGGCGACACCGGGGACACCGGAGCAGGGACTGGGAGCGGCGCTGGGGGATACTGGGCGGACTGGGGAGGGGGTGGGCTCGGGGAAACGGGGCTGGGAGGAACTGGGGGATACTGGGCGGACTGGGGAATAGGCGCTGGGAGGAAATGGAGCCGCTGGCTGAGCTGGAGCTTTGGGGGAATAAGGACTGGGCGAACTGGGAGCTACTGGGAGAGGCGTGGGGCCGGGACTGGGAGCGCTGGGATGGCGCCGAGCTCTGGCAGTGGGTGTTGGGTGATGCCCCTCGGGGACACGAGCGGGACCGAGCCGGTCCCCGGGGCTGGGCCGTGGGTCAGGCCCGGCGGCACCGGGGGGTGTCCGGTCCCCCTCGCCACGCCACAGGCGTCGGTGGCCGCGGTGGCCTCCGTGGCAGGGCGGAGGGGTTGCGGCGCTGGGATCCGGTCCCGGAGCCGCGGGGGAGACCCCGGGAAGGAGCTGCCCCTTCCCGGTTGGAGCCCCACGGGCACCCACGCACTTCCTCCGAAACTCCCGTGGGGCTCCGGCGGATCCATCCCCGCCAGCGTGCCCAGGAACCCCTGGAGATCAAATCCATCCCCCCACACCCAGCCCCGAGCAGCCCCCCGGGATTTGCTGAGCCGCGGGTGGGCACCGGCATCGCCCGGTGGGCGATTCCCGAATGCCGGTGGTGCCAAGGAAGGCCAGCCCAG